CGTGAACTTGGCCGGTGCGCGCCCAGTTGGAGTTCAATGATGCTTTCAATATGGATGGCTTCAAGAAATGCCTAGCAACGAGCTGAAACACGCCGGGAACCGCCGCTGCAGAGCACAAGGTGTCCGATCGATGTGATAGCCTCTGTCGGAAGTTTCAAATGATCCTAAGGGTGTTGCGCCTGCATTCGAAGATCATCGTTTACGAAACTCGCAATGTTTAAGACAATCATTCGACCGCAGAATGCGACTGCACTGTTGCTAACCGGAAGTGCGTTAGTCGATCCACTTCGGAGTAATTCGGTAGCCTAGTTGGTGTGGATACAAACCAGCACAAGGTACGGAGTAGTCAGATCTATCTACTTCTCTACGTCATCACCCGCTCTCCTCTCATTCCAACAAAGTCCCAAGTCATCACAACATGGACGATCACAATGAGGCCGTGGCGACCATTGCCGGTCAGGTCAAAGAATTCCAACGTCGCCAACAACCATTTCGCATCTATCATGGCTCGACAAATAGTACACGGCAGTCTCAACATGATCACAACAACACCATCAACACCGCACACCTAAGTCATGTTATACGCACCGATTGCGAAGCTCAAACCGTGCTGGTCGAACCCAATGTCCCCATGGACCAGCTTGTCCAGGCAACTCTGGCTGCTGGCCTGGTCCCTCTTGTCGTGATGGAGTTTCCTGGTATCACTGCCGGGGGAGGGTTTTCCGGGACATCCGGCGAAAGCAGCTCCTTTCGGCACGGCTTCTTTGATGCCACTGTTAATTGGATTGAGATAGTCCTGCCAAACGGCGAGGTACGGATTGCGTCAAAAACCACGGATCCCGATCTCTTCTGGGGCGCTGCGTCGGCATTCGGCACTCTGGGTGTCGTCACCTTGCTCGAGGTACAGTGCCGGCAGGCCAAACCTTATGTCGAGCTGAAGTACCAGTCTACCTCATGCATGGATAATGCCATGGACATCTTCCGTGCTGCGGCCGCTGATCCGCAGATCGATTACCTCGACGGGATTGTCTTCGCCAAGGACCAGATCGTCGTGTGTACAGGACGGCTGACCGATTATTTGCCTGCAAATACCAAACCGCAACGCTTCACCGGCTCTCGGGATCCGTGGTTCTATCTTCATGCACAGAAATGTGCAAATTCACTTTCAAGAGAACTAGACTACATCCCGTTGACAGACTACCTTTTCCGCTATGACCGCGGCGGGTTCTGGGTTGCCCGGTACGCCTACTTGTATTTCCTAGTTCCATTCAACTGTATCACACGCTACATTCTCGACTATTTCATGCATACGCGGGTGATGTACCATGCTCTACACGAGAGCGGACACTCCAAGCGGTACATCATCCAAGACGTGGCGGTACCATACACTGCGACAACCGAGTTCCTCGACTGGCTGGACCAGAAACAGAATTTTGGCGCATACCCCATCTGGCTGTGCCCCCTCCGGCATTCAGAGGGGCTGATGTCACGTACTGGTTCGAACAATTCCGTCCTGCCACCGACCGGTCAAGAGGAGGACGGGTACCTCATGAACTTTGGCCTGTGGGCTCCGTCTCCCTTCCACAGCAACACAGCTGAATTCATCGCCCAGAATCGCCGGCTGGAAGGTAAAGTTCGCGAACTCGGCGGAAAGAAGTGGTTATATGCGCATGCGTACTACACCGAAGATGAATTCTGGTCTATATACGACAGGAAGAAATACGACCAGCTGAGGGAGAGATATCATGCGTCGTACCTGCCTGATCTGTATCAAAAGGTTCGGGTTAAACTTGCCGCGCCTGAGGATGGTAAAGGCAGTGGTGGGGGCTCTATCAGAGATGCTGTGTGGAACCTCTGGCCTGTGAGTGGTTTGTATGGTGTCTACAAAGCGTGGAGGGGAGGGGATTACCTGCTCAAGACGAAGGCAAAAGAGTAAGGCTTCTAGTCAATGAGCAGTGGTGCTACATTTCGTGTTCTCATGTGATGGTTGACACGGGCAATGAGGGTGATAGAAAAGACATGATATAACAAATGAATATGTACTAATTGCCAAGCATCCCATCTATTATCTGTCATATATCATAAGTCGTTCTCTATTGTGCGTAGACCAGAAGTAACCATTGCTCACAGAGCTGGAATAAGAAGACAAACACCCGAAATGCTACATCTACCCAAAACAATCCAACTACAACTCGACGGTCAGCCTGCGACTACGCGGTCGGCAACTACCCCTCGATGACAATCCGCCCCTCAAGTCTGGGCGCGATGCCGGGCGTCCACGCCGGAGTGAAGCCCTGTGCATCATCGACCGTGTTGAGCGTCGCGGGCTTCAACCCAGCGGCATGCATCCATTTCCGGACCGCCCGGCGCGCAAGCCGCAGCCGATGCTCCTCCTCCGCGGCGGAGCGGGCGGGCAGGGTGACGTAGTTTGTGGTTGGCTGTGGGGAGGTCAAGATATCCGGATCCGAATCCGAGTCCGAGTCCATGCTCGTTTGGTCCTCGTCCTTGCGGCCGTTGCCACTCCCATTTGCTTCGATTTCGGGGAACCGGCCGTAGAAGTAGTGGTTGGTGCGTTTCAGATTCGGGCGGCAGGGGAGAGGCCGGCTGGGCACCTTCTCGGAGACAGGGGAGGGTTGCGCGGAGGGGGGTTTCAGCCAGCCGTCGCAGTGGAGATTCTGGTGGACTTGCGCCCAGTGCCTCGATAGACTCTTGCTCCAGCGCTGCCACTTGCCCAGGATCTTGAGGCTGAGGAAGTACTGGCGGAGGATGGTGCTGATCATCACACCGTTCTCTTCGTCGACGATCTCTTCCACGTCGCCTCCGGCTGACTGCACGAGAAGAGAGGCGAACCCGTCCTTTCCGCGTGCCATGTAGCCCCTCGTGGCGAGGACATAGCTCCGTTCGAACTCGACCGATTGCCCGCCCACCTTGGCCCAGTTGAGGCGCGAGCCAGGGGGTGCAGACGGGTTGAAGCCAAAGGAGATATTCGATACCTGCGGGAAACGTCCCTCGAGGGCGGGGAGCTGGCTCACTCCGTTTTCTAGAGCATCCATCAGTGCTGAGCCCGTGACACGGAGCAAGACCACCGGGTCCTCGAAGGGGAAGCAGTTTAGTAGATCCTTGAGTCGTAGCAGACCGGGCGGGTAAATCTGGTCACCGCGGATTGTCCCGCCGGCCATCATGGCGCAGTCTGCGGCATAGTAAAATCGCATGAGATCGCAGACAAAGTTGCCGAGATTGGACTCCCTCTGACGAACCGTGGTGAAACGGCCGTCGAGCGGACGAACCGTGTATCCGACCGGCTTTTCCAGCTTCGCCTTGAGGCTCGAGGTCAAGCGGCCTACCATCGCTACGGTGGCGGGATCTTCGGGAATCGTTCGAACTATATCGCGACGGACGATGTCAAAGTCCCATCCCGGTCCATCGGCCTTGCGCCACGCCTCGATATAGCTCAGTTGTTTGAAATCGGTGCCGGATCGCAAGATATGGGTGTTGTTGATCACCGCATGTCCGTAAAAATGATCATGCCCTCCTAAGATAAGATCAATCGTACCAGGGGGAAGGTTCTGCGCCAGTTTATAGTCGTTCGGCTCTCGTTGGTGGGTGACGGCTACAATAATATCCGCGCCCTGTTGGCGCAGTTTCGGTGCGAGCTCTAACGCGGTTTTCGAGGCGGACTTATAGATCAGATCAGGAGGGAGGGAGTTGATGGTTCCTAGCCTTGGGATTGTCAATTTGTCTCCCCGGAACATAGGTATCCTTCAACAACCTACCATTCTCGCTCTCCCAGCCCGATAACGCCAACCTTCAGTCCGTTTGACGATGTCAGCATAACAGTCTTCTCGCAGTTGGCGATCGGGACGTCTGGACCTAGCGCCGGGTCTAGAACATTGGCAAGCAGCCAGGGGAACCTGCACTGGCTGCGCAAATGACGAAACTGTGCGACACCGAAATCGAGATCGTGATTCTGTCAAACCCGCCAGCGTGTTAGCCATGTTACATCAGCGCCACACCCTGGACTCAATCAACCCCGTGTGAAACATGCTCACGTACCCCAACACAAGCTACATCCGTCCCTGCTTTGTTCAGGAACGGTACCATATGTCGCCCTTTGGTGACTGTGCTCTCGAGACTGGGGTTAAAGGCATCGCCGGAGAAGAAGGTCAGGACGTCGGGAAGTCCGGTAAATCGCGGGTGAGAACGATAGTAGTTAATCACGGACTGGAATCGGGAGACACCACCAACGGGTTCAGCGGACCCAGGTCTAGGACATGGTCAGTCATGGAGATAGAACTTGTGGTCGGTGAGGGGGACAACCGTACTCCACATGGTACACATCGTTGTAGTGGATCAGACGCAAATCAGGCGTGCCTGTTCTGTTGGAGGAATGTGTGATGGTGAGGCCATCGAGTTCGATTGGAGTCATCGTTTATAGGGAACAGCAATGTCAAGCAGGAGAGGTGGAGAGAAAGAGGAGTGAAAGAGGAGTGAAAGAGGAGGACAGCTGAACGAGATAAAGGCAGGCCGGGGATCAGCTGGTGCTGTCCGAGGCATCCAGGCTGCAAGGCACCTGCGGAGCTAGCGTTGCCACCACCAATTACAGCAGCTGGATCCGCGCGGAGATCAGCGGGTTCGTCAGTGGAAACTCCATAGTTCGATCTACAGTAAACAAATGACGTACGACACGAGGATGATCCTCCAGATATCATCGATCGAGTCAGATATATTGCAGTAAGCATGGGGTGACTATATCAATTAATGGAAGTGGTGATGGCCGTCGGATTTGGTACAGCGTTGTGAATGGAGAGTATACAGGATCAATGTCATCATCCAGGAGTAGAGTCGTATGCATTGGTAGACCAAGATTTCCCTGAACGCCTCGCCTTATGCAAATCAACAGATAAACACATAAATAGTGACAGGCCAACATCCCAAGGTATCCTGACGAAAACTCAAAGCAAGAAAAGTAGAAGCAAACATGAGAAACGAAACAAAACCGACTATACCCTTCTTTCAGTCACTGTCCAGCGTCGTTTCGTAGCGGCTTCCCGGTCCTTAGATACCGGTATGCTACCCCAGAGACCTCGCTGGGAAAAGGTCCTTTGAGGCAGATTGTTTGATTGCCCGGCTGGCTCCTCAGGCTTTGGCGCAGAACCGTTTGCCTGACCTGTAACGACTGCATCAGAGGAAGCAGATCTCCGGTCGCCAAAGTTGGGTAAAATATCATCAGCCGATTCGTGTATAATCGAGGCCGGGCCCCATAGGCCATTGGAGCCCTTCGGCGCTGTAGAGGGGCGCAAAAGGGTCCAAGAACGCGACCCGACACCCGAATTCGGGGAGGGACCAATCATGAATTGTCCCTGAGAAAGCGAAGGACGCGACGCAAGTCGATGACGATAAGCGGAAATCGAGGGAGTGACCACGCTGTTAGGTGAGGATAAGCTGGACGTGGACGGGATTGGATTCACGTTAGGACGTAGATGATCAGTCGAGGCCACAAGCCGTAAGCTGTAACCTTTTGTGACTGGGGCCTCTTCTGACGTTCCAGAGGGCAAAAAGTACCCCAGAGGACCGTCTGCCTCAATTTGTTCGTCCGCATTGTCCTTGCGGACGGACATGGTAAGGGATGCTGTTTGGAAATCCAACAGCACAGGCTCTCCAGTCAGCGCCCCAACCAGGGCATTGCATCCCGCCCCGTGAGTAATCACGACCAGAATGGTGTCGGTCGCATCATCCTCATCAGCTGGCTGGTGTAGATCCCCGTTGATTCCGGGCTGTTGCGAGTGTCGCCGCGGTCGGCCAGTCCCGGTACCTTGGTCGTTGTTGCGGTACCAGGAGAGCATTCGCTCGAACCCAGTACGGAAGCGCGAGTGCATGGCACTCCACTCCTCGCCGTACTCCCCTCCACTGCCCCAGTTCTGGGGCTCACGCATGCTGTCCCACTGGTAGTCAATCTTCACGCAGGCGTTGCGCGCGTGCGTAACATATCCTACAGGGATGGGGTCTGAGGGCGAGATGGCGTAGCTTGGAGTGGGAGGCGTGTATGCGCCGTCTGGAATAGGTGGAAGATCAGTGTTGATTTTGCCGAGGATTCTTCTAGCGTGAGGCGTTTCGGCGGACTTGAGACTGTCGTAGCTCCCTGCACGGTTCCTTTGGCCCTGAGGTTGGGTGACACCCGAGGAAGGGCCAACATTGTTTGCGGTTTCATCAGCGGGGGTTGTGTTAGGGTTTGTGAAACCACCCCAGCCTCCAGGGAAGTAGCCTGTAGTCGGCTTGTTGGCAGTGTCCGCTTCGGGAACGACGTCGTCCCCGCGCCGAAGTAATTCGGCCTTGGCAGCAGCGATGAGCCTTTCTGACTTGGGGGGAGGGGTGATCTGGTCAAAGTAGTCTGGGCTCAACCACTCACCCAGGAATGCGTCCACGCGCAGAAGACACCGATGATCCTGGGGAGCAGGCATCGGAGGGACAGCTGTGACCGGACTCGAGACAGACTCTCTGGATGAGTCTGCAGCTAATCCCATAGGATATCCAGTGGCCTGAGCGGAGTTTGAAGCGACTGCGGGGTGAACAATCTCAGTGTCCGGATAGTGCTGGCTGATTCCCGAGCTGACCGCGATGGCAGTCTGCACGCAACGAAGATATGGAGAAGTATGAATTATGATTCTGCGCTTCTTCCTGGGTTTCTGGAGCGATGACGGGAATTTCGGCTCGTCTCGTGGTACCAAGGACGAAACTGGGGGATGCTCGTCGAACGACTGCAGTAGGTCGATGATCCGAGCTCCGAGTGCGCGAGACTGGAGCCAACCGCCATAGGAGAGGGGAGGGTCATAGGGAGTCGGAGAGGTGAGGTGCCAATTTTTGTCGGCAGCATCTAGTCGAGCGCCATGTCTGGAGGTCAGAGTGTCAGCAGGAAGTCGCTAAATCAGGAGCTCATGAATTTCCACCCCTTTCGACCATACCTGGCTATAACAATGGCCGCGGGTAGTTTCCCCATGGCAGGAACGTCAAACTGAACGTCTAGGTAAGGGAAGGACGGATAAAAGAAGAGGAAAAAAGAACAAGGGAAGAGAAAATTCTTTCTGGTTGTTAAATCGACCGGCCAAGGGAGGGGGACGCTCTCCAGCTGTTCGTTGTGAAGGTCCGGCGGGGTAAATGTGACTGATGATGCCTGGTCAAGCCATCAGATCAGGTCATTTTGTTTCATACTGCAGATGAGAATCATGAGAATAGGATATAGCTGTAGCATGAAGGTCAGTATCAGGGTATCTGCCACATCATCCACATTGTGCCTAGCACCCTGTATGTAGTAAGTATAGCAAAACTTGTTAGAATGGCTCTTTTGCTTCTATTTTTCTTTTTACCCCGGCTTTATCAGAAATAAAATTAACACTAATTACATTAGTTAATCATTCTTCTGTCTTTGTCTTTTGACATGTGATTCTGCTTATGTAAAGCAGGAATGGAGTCGCCATTCTTCAAGGAGTTCAGTCATGAGAGCATTCATCATTAGATAGAGAGGTGGACAAGAGGAAGCCATCTTGTTGAGTATGGCTGACTGGTATAGATATGTTCTTCTTCCTCTCTCGGTTAAATGAAACAGATCCAATGGTGATCATTGTTGTATGACCTCCTGGATGGAACTGCTCCGTCGGACGAAGCGAAGACCATGAGTGCTGCCTCAGGCGCCGAGTCATCAGGTCGATATCTTGAGTCTCTCTCCAGCAGAGACCAGGTCAGGGGCTTTAAATATCCGGATTATGAGTGTCCCAGCTCTTCACATGTCTCAATTTGGGTTAATTAGATAAGAATACTCCATAGTAGACCACATCCTAGTCCTTCCACCCTTCCGCACTACAGATCGCCTTGCAGCATGCTTGTTTAGGCTCATGCGAGGAGCCTTAGCGACAATGTCTCGCTACGACATTTCCGAGCCCAGAATTCTTCCGAGGCTCACTGCGTATTATTTCCAATCCGAACTAGCGTCTATTCCTTTTGACACGCAGCACGTTCCTTTTTACCCCTTAACCCACCGATTAGATTGTGTTTGACTTGCTTCCGATCAACGGCCTAGATGATCCGTCTGGTGTTGTGCCTTCCGAGAAAAACATCCCCTCGACGTGATACTTTACCATTGCCATGGCTCTAAAGCATGGGTCCCATCATTTGTGGAGATAAAGGACGATCATTGGCAGATTGTGGCAATGAATTGGATGATTCTTGAATTTGGTATACACAGTGCTTTGCTCCGTCACTATCCAATGGCTTCTTCAGTCTGCGCTATTCGACTGGAAAAACACCTGTGTTGAGAGATGTGAGCTGGGACACTTCAAGAGTACAACAATTGCTCCCGACCAACCAGGGTGGCGACCAACTCCTGAGTGATTTTCCACGTCTACGTAGACTTGATAGATGGATAAGTACATAGGTATAGACTCAATTTGAAATCAGAGTATTGCTTAGATTCGTCAACATTCCTTATTAAACTCGCTATGACATATGATAAATGCTCATGCAGCGCCCCATCCACCACCACCAGCAGTCATAATCACAAATCGGTCATGGGTGTTCACGGACACTGTATTCTTCCCGCCAATATTCACCTGTCGCTCCACGCCCGTCTCCTTCTCCGTGGTAACCCACAGATTCAACCCTGGCTGCGCATCTTCCCCGCCCTCCAGTCCGTACGGACGATGCACTCGTCGCTCCGAGAGGATAGAGCACTGCATCGGGGCGAGGAATTCAATCTCCCGAATCACGCCGTCCCCGCCGGGATGCAGACCCTTGCCGCCCGATCCCTGGCGCAGGGTGAACTGCCTCAGCAGCGTCGGGTACCGCTTCTCCAGGATCTCGGGATCCGTGATCCGCGTGTTGGTCATGTGCACGTGCACCCCGGACTCCCCGTCCCAGGTCGGCCCGGCGCCGCTGCCCCCTGCAATGGTCTCGTAATACCCGAACCCCGGGAGCGTCTCGCCCGTGTCCGGGTCGGTGCGCGCATTCGTGCCAAAGGTGAGGTTGTTGCAGCAGCCCTGCGAGGCGGCGCAGGCGCGGAACGCCTTGAGCACGACGTCCGTGATGCGCTGCGAGGTCACGACGTTGCCGCCGACGACGGCGGCGGTCTTGGTCGGGGAGAGGATGCTGGGTGATGGGACTCGGATGTCGATCGGGGCCAGGCAGCCTTGGTTGAGAGGCACATCGGCGTTGATCATGCATCGCAGGGAGTAGATGATCGCCGAGTGGGTGATGGCGATCGGGGCGTTCCAGCAACCATAGACCTCCGGACCGGTGCCGGCGAAGTCGAAGACCGCCGAGCCGTCCGAGCCATTGATGGTGACCTTGAGCTTGATCGGGGTGCCGTCGTCCATGTAGTCGACTGCTTCCAAGGGTTGGCCGTCGTACTTCTTGTGGAGCCCCTTGAGGAGGTCGCGGACGGCCCTCTCGGCTGTGTGCTGGATGGCGTACATGTACTTCTGGACGGTCTCGACGCCGTACTCGGTGAAAAGAGCCTGGATCAGAGAGATACCGCGCGCGTTGGCAGCGATCTGCGCTTTCAGGTCCGAGATGTTGTCGCTGACGCATCGTGCTCCCGAGCATCCGTCGTACTGAGCGGGTCCGTCAACCAGAAGCTCCATGATGCGTTTTTCGTCGAAGACGCCGTTGCTGACGATCTTGTCGCCCTCGATCGCCGCTCCTTCTTGCCACAACTCCGTGGATTTGGGGGGCATCGATCCAGGGAGAATACCTCCAATGTCCGCGTGATGGCCGCGAGATGCTACATAGAACATGATCTCCGTGCCACCGGGGCGGTCAAAGACGGGTGTAATAACCTGGTGATGTCAGTACATAGGATAGCGGATGGAAATAGTGGAGCGTACCGTTATATCTGGCAAGTGAGTTCCACCACAGCAGGGGTGGTTGGCAACTAGAACGTCGCCGTCTTTCAGATTTCCTAACCACTTCTGGTGCTGGTACCGGACAGCAAACTGCATAGAGCCCAGATGAACAGGGACATGAGGCGCGTTGGCGACAAGACCTCCATCAGGGGAGAACAGAGCACAGGAAAAGTCCAGACGCTCCTTGATATTAGTTGATACCGAGGTCTTCTGGAGCGTACGGCCCATCTGCTCTGCGATGGACATGAAACGATGGCCGAAGATGCTGAGCCGGATGGGATCGATGTTGGATGACTCATCGTTGGCGGCAGACGCATCGGTCTTAGTATCCTTGAGATCAATTACGATGCACGTCTCCAGAATGCTTGCAACAGCACTGGGTGCGACCACAATGGTCTGTGTCTTGTCGATGATGATGGCAGGCCCATGTACTCGAGTGCTCTTCTCGAGCTTATCGAGCAGATACACAGGGGTGTCGATGCGGCTAGAGTGGCCATCAAAGTATGCCTTGGTGACATTATCAGGCTCACCACTGACGTCTTTCAAAGGCGCTTCCTTCAGCTGGACCAGTGGGCTCTTTTCCGTCCGCACTTTGGAAGAGGCGGTGGTACGCACGCGAATGTCATCGACGAGAACTGCTCGCTCCGAGTTGAAACCGAATTCTCGGCGATGACGCTCTCGGAATTGCTCGAGAAAGCCAGAGTCCTCCTCCGGCTTCAAGATCATCAGGCTGGTGTCCGACCCTTCATATCGCATGTTGAGGTACAGTTCATGATGGACCTGGTCGGCACGGAAGCCTTGTGTCATCATCTCCTCGGTAGCCGCTTTGGTCATGCCGTCGAATCGTTTCTGCAGCGTCGACTGCGAGGCCTGGTAGTCAGCAGAGACCGGCTCCTGAGACTCCTTGACGACTTCAGCCAAGGCCAGACCGTAAGCGGACAGGACGGAGGAGTATTTGTGGATGATGATGCGGGAGATTCCAAGCGATGCGGCAACGGAGCAGGCGTGCTGGCCACCAGCACCACCAAAGCAAGCCAGATGATGGGAAGCAGTTTCATATCCGCGAGCCTCGGTCAAATTACGAATAGGGCGAGCCATGGACTCGTCCGCCACCTTCAAGAAACCCAAGGCGATCTCTTCCGGCGTATACTCTGACTGGCCCTTTTCTCTCCTTTCAGTGTTGATCTTGTCCGTGAGTTCGTTGAATAGCTTCGTAGTGGCTTCCAGGTCAAGGGGCTGGTCCTCGTTCGGACCAAAGATGTGGGGGAAGTATTCGGGCAGCAGGCGACCAAGGAACAGATTGGCGTCCGTCACAGTCAGAGGACCACCCTTGCGGTAACAAGCCGGACCGGGGTGGGCCGAAGCAGATTCAGGACCGACGTAGAACAGGCCGTTCCGCCAGGTGAGGATGGAGCCTCCACCGGCTGCCACAGTGTTGATGTCGAGTTGAGGCGATTGGATGAGGACGCCAGCAACCTTGGATCCGAAAACATGTTCCAGATGGCCGGCAAAGCGGGAAACGTCGGTGGATGTGCCGCCCATGTCGAAACCAATGACGGGAGTCTTCTCAGTGGGATCATAGCTGGTGGCTGCGAAACCGACCACCCCAGCAGCCGGACCAGACAGAATCGCCTTCAGCCCGCTGAATCGGCGAAAGTCAACCAGGCCACCGTCGGATTGCATAAATTCGAATCGGCATTCTCGCTGCTCTTCCAAGCCCCCTTCGAAGGCGGCAGAGATGGAATCAATGTATGTTTTGATGACTGGGGTAAGGTAGGCATCGGCTGCGGCCGACATCCCCCGAGGCACGACCTTGATCATGGGTTGTAATTTGGAAGACAGTGTGACGGAGAACCCCATGCTCTCAGCCAGCTCGCCGATCAGGCGCTCATGCTCTGGATATGCGTATGAATGAACAAGCGCCACGGACAATGACCGATACCCCTGCTCCTTCAGTCTCTGAAGCTCCACTCGAACGGCGTCGAGATCTAGCTCCTTGACCACACGAAACTTCTCGCCTGTCACACCTTCGACGGTGCGGGCGCCGGAGAAGCAGTCCTTGTCGGCAGAAGGATGACAGGGGACGATACGCTCATCCACCTCCACCACGCCTTCTGGCAAGACACCAGGCCTGGCCATTGTTAAGTCAAAAATGTTGGGACGCGATTGATCGCCAATCTTCAAGAGATCTCGGAAGCCTTTCGTTGTGAAGAGTACGGATCGTGCACCTTTCCTTTCAAGCAAGGCATTTGTCGCAACTGTCGTCCCCATTCGCAAACAGCCGATGCGGTCTAGCTCCAATGGCTGTCCTCGAGGGTGAGGCTTGCCAGTCACGAGCTCGAGGATCTGACGGACCCCTTCCGTAGGGGCATCCTCATAGTGACCGGGATCGACAGAAAGCAGCTTGAGAATGATATCTGGGCGACCAGGTACAATGGCATGGACATCGGTGAAAGTACCACCGCGGTCAATGGAAATGGTGATTTTCCCTGATTCTTCCTCCATCTTGTCTGTGTGTGTGTGGAGGTGATGTAAGACCTTTAGAGGATGGAGGGGGGAAATATGGTGTGCTAATAGAACGAGGGGTATGATGGGTATCACCGGTTTATAATAATATACCACTCTTGATTCTAGGAAACACTAAGTTCACTCGGCCTCCGACTTTACAGGGACCGAAACAAGCCATCACTGATAACGACATCACATCACTCGCGAGTCAAGAGCTGATCCGACTGGTTCTCCGCTTGCTGGGCCCAGTCATTCGTGCTTGATGCTCCCAGCCATCGGTGCGGGTGGACTGGATGAGGTCACGTGTCGGCCCGACGGTCGGAGCGTCGGGAGCAGCGGTCCGATGCACCCGGTCATTGGAGATACGGAGAATATCAGAGATGGTATGGTGATGAGTGGGATCAAATAGATACCAGTGATACTGCTGAGGATTTATGGTCATAGCTGAAGGCTGTGTCTTGCACAAATTGTGGTGTGTTGATCAATGATCAGACGATGTTCTCATATGATGGAGTTACCACGGAGTATATATTTTGCTCACGGACCATAAGGACTGGACTGTTCCATACATTTATGGCTCTTCACCCTATGAAAGATGTGCTCACAGCTAGGTGGAGATTCTATATGCAAAGACTTGATATGTGCATCCAGAAAAATAGAAACTAAGATCACAGACTATCCATTGCGCAGCCTTGACAGAGTCTCAATTGTTGAGAACAACTCAATCGTTGTCTTGCCTTCTCAAAGTATTCTCAATCCAGTCAGTGTCCATATCAATATCGATCTGACCAAGAACCTCTTCCCACAATCCTGGATCCTCATTGATATCAAGATGGAACGTGATATCCTGCTGGATTGGCCAATCCGAGGGACCGGCCCTTGTATCATCACCTCTTATAACGGCGTCAGGAGGACTGCGCTGCTGATTGCTGCTAGGTGTTACAGGAGCATTGAAATCAAGCTCCTCCTTGGACAGTTGATTGGATCCAATAGAGGCCCGAAGTTCTAGCAGTAAGGAGTGACGAGACCCGAGGTACGTATTTCCTCGATCTGCCATGCTGCGCAACAGATCCAGTGCCATTTCCATGGTTCTCGCATTTGTCTCATTGTGCGGAAAGGCCGCATTGACCATGATCAGCAGCAGAGCGGCAGAGAAGATGTATTCGCCATCCAAGTAGCCGTAGGTTGCTGAACAGTTCACGGTGAATATCAGTTCAGCTTGAGGGGAATAGAAGAGAACGTACCAACCAAATTGTGCCTTGCTGCAGCGTCCATGATGAGCGTCGTGGCTCGAGCTGCGGTGATGCAACTGTCAATGACTGCAACTGTGTTTTGCGACAGGCCGTCTTTCCAGTCATTTGTGGCTGGTCCTCCGGTCCCTGCATCCAGTCGCCTCTGGATTACATAGAACACTAGAGGTCTGGCAGTCATGTTGATGCATGAGTAAAAGTGAAGGAATATGGAGACTGATTCGCGATTAATATGCGTATCTAGTGTGGTAAAGTCAATGCGTAAGCGATCTGGCACTTGTCGGAGCCAGTCAGACAGGTCGTTTGTAATGCTCTGTACCGATGCCAGGAGATTAGACCCGGATCGAGGTTTCTTGCGGTAGATCTCTATATCGCATGTCAGCATGGCTATTGAAGGACGTAGTTCGAGGAGCTCGACCTTCACCAATTCTGCCCAGAATGCGAGACAATTGGGTGTAGTGAGTGAGAACGACTGACGGCCATGGAACAGCTGTAGGACCGCCCTGCTAAAGGTTAGCAAGGAGTCGTCATTCTCAATGACGAAAGAATAGAAAAGATGGAGAATAAAGTTTTAAAAGTCATACTTCAGGTATCGGCCACATTGTCCCAATATCTTCATCCTGGATAGTGATTGGATTCCCGGACTTGACAGAAAGTAACCTGAACAAGTCAGTAATGCCGTTCCGAAAAGGTGCATGCAGCAGTACCTGTCAAGACTATACACAGACCACCATGCTCGCCGTCGTCGATAGCGATCTGCATCACTCACATCGGGATGTGACACCTCCTGATGGAGTCCTAAAGAGATGGCCATGCGAAGCGCGAGGCCAATCTACAATTCATGTCAGCATGCCATCAATGGAATCGAAATAAAGGAATGCTTACATATAGAAACGCAGCATCACGCCGGTTCAGATTCTGCATGTAATAAGCAACATAGCACAAAACCTCGACGAAGAATATCGAGCCTTCCTCATGAATATCAGGCAGAAAACGCAAGGCATGCTTAAAGTACTTGAAGCCAGGCGGGCCCTCATCTCCTGACCATTGGTTCACTGAATACATGAGCCCATAGGCAATGACAAGGAGGACTTGACAATAAACAAGGCATGACTCTCGGTTTGAGAAGTCAGGAGGGTGATGATAGACGAAATTGAGTCGTTCTTCGAAATCCTCAGGCTGGATCAGGGAAAAGATAGTTCCAATGTAGGCATATTGCACCCAGAACAATCGCTTGGCGAATTCGAACGGTGGCAGCTGCGGCAGAGCCCGAGTGACGGAACGGCGCAGAGACGAAGGATCATCGTACAGAGGACGCACGTCCCATGCGAGATTGGTTGATGACGGATGCAATCGCTTGGCCAGCGCGACCGCTGAAGCAGGGCCAACATAGTCTGAGAGTGGTTTAGCTGATATTATGGACGATGCAATCCGTTAGACATACGATGTTCGCCCGATCGATTTAAGAAAAGATTATCCGTTCCATTATACCACCAATCATCCCGGTCAGGCGGAGTGCTCTGACTGGCGTTGCTATACGGGGTGTTTTGGCTTGGAGTGGAGTCCGATGACAGAGGTGGAAGAGTAAGTCTGTGCTCTGACCCTTGTCTCGCCGCTCTAGCTTGCGACTGAAGCTGACGCAGGTAGCTGTTTGGGATATCGCTGCGGTTAGCATCTCGCGTCTGCTGGCCTTTCTTGCCTTCACATCTGCACTCCTTTCCTCGTCCGCGTGGTCTTGCTCACCTTTCAGGTACCGACACGCGTTTCTCAGCTTCGGAATACACACATATGTGACCTGCATCTTCGCATGCAGCACAGGGATAAGGTGGCGTGCCAGCACATCGGGTCTTTCTGCCTCGACATCGATTGCATCTGCCAACAGCCGTCAGCTCGGTTCTGCAGAAGGTCTTGTCACCACGCACGCTATAACTGAACGCATATTTCCCGACCTGTCTATTGATCGATTCTGCAATCCCATTCGAGCTTTGCTGTGCGCCATTTGGGCAATACTGGTGGCTGTCAAAGACAGCACATAATTATAAGGTACCGCCTCCTTGCCGTTGGGAGTATAGAGAAACTGGCTCCTCAGTAGAGTTGATCTTGTTCAGTTGTCCTTTTCTCAACAGCAGAGGCACCGAGAGTCCAGTAGTTTAGTTCAAGGACTCGATGATGTATGCGATGAGATTGACGATGACTGCGTTGTTTGCCAACTGTTTTCTGAAGGCCTTTAACAGTGTTATGTTGGACACTCACACTGCAGACCTAGTCGCTGAGATTCTGCTCGTATTTGTCAACCCTCAGATATTATATCTCATAAATTAATGCTTATCTTCTCCAGATTCCCCGCATCAATCCGTTGCGTTGGCTTATTGTGGTCACGCAGCCTGGTAGGTAGCTGATAAGTCATCGGCCCGATGGATAATGGGGCACGACCAATCCAGTTGGGCCTTGAGATGACAGGCTTAAGCCACAGAACATTCCGATAAGACCGAAAGCGAAAGGCTGAACCAACTACTTACGCAGTACTTAGGCTTGCTTGTGCTGTTGAGGACCTTTGGGCTTCGAAATTGAGACTCATCGCCTGGGGAAAAATGAGCGACTGCCCTTTCCCCGGTTCTTTTTCTCGGGTCGGGATATTGCGGCTGTGTACTGTGGTGTCATGGTATGGGTTGCTCACCTCCAAAGCCATTTCGTTGACTGACCTCCTCAGAGGAGAACAAAGTTCACAGTTATGCTTCAAGCTCTATTTTAAAAAATGTCCCAGGCAAATGGCTGTGCTTGCGATTTTACTATTGATTTTCACAGTACTCGGCGCCCTCCTGTGGAACTATACGCGGCTAAACTCAATCCCCGGCCCATTGCTTGCAGGACTATCTGATATTTGGTGGGAGTGTCTCAAATCGTCACCACAATATGCTTGTCGTTTGGATCGTCTTCATCAGGAATATGGTGAGGTGGTTCGCATAGGGCCGAGCACTGTCAGCATCTCTGACCCTTCCGCCGTTTTCTGGCTGGATGCTTGTCCACGAAGGTTGAAGTTCCTTGATAGTTATGTTGATGAATCGGAAGAAGGGACTGTGAATGCTCGTCTCAGAAGCAATGATCGTGTTGACCTAAACGCGCTGGCAGACCACGCCTTTCAACATCACGATAAAATCAAGGATCTGGTTCTCGACTTCTGCAGAGCCGTTCGAAAACAACACACATTGAAACTGGCTGTTTTCCGACCCTTCGCGACCGACATTGTTGGACACATGTTCTTGGACGACCTTGATAACCAAGCAGCACCCATGCCTACCGGGTCAAATCACACGGATGGATGCCGATTTACAACATTCCTGGACCATAATATGTTCAAGAGCCCAATTGCCAAGCTAAAGCGCAAACACAACAATAGCCTCCCATGGGTTTCTTGCACAGGGGCCTCTTCCGGGTTGAATGATGCATCTATCTTCGAGCTTTTGCCGGAGACTGGCAGAAGAACGCTCCTGCGGGCAGAAACCCGTCAGTATGGTGATCCGCACGCCTCTTTGAACTTGACCCGGGCGGAGTGCATGATCGCCGCATTTGTTTCAGTGTTTCTCCATTTGTTAAAGTGTCCTACTGCTATGTGTCAACTCAAGCACGAGGTAGACGTCGCATTTGGCAAGGCGGCCTTATCCGATATTCGTCAGGAAGAGACGGGGTCACCCGTCCTACCATTCCTGGATGCTGTCATGAAAGAATCGATGCGACTTGGCATGGAATTTGATTATCGAAGCCATGTTCCAGCAGGTGGTGTAGCAGTCTCGGGACATTATCTTCCCGAGGGAACGGTCGTTCAGTTTCATTCAGAGACTTTAAGAAACAACCGGACCATCTATGGAGAAGACGTCTCTTCTTTCCGGCCTCAGAGATGGCTACAGGCAGACTTGGACCCACGGCAACGGAACCGGATGGAGGAAGGATTGCTGGTTCTTCGACTGAGTATGCAAAGTTCTGCGAAGGCTCGATCTGCATGGCTGGAATTGAAGCGAGCTGTTGCTCTGATCATCTGGAGCTTTGATGTAAGTGCAGTTGCAGTCTTTAGAGGACCAGACTAATATATTATCAGTTGCATCCTGTCAATAATGATGAAGTGTCCATACAAGATCCCGCTCCTCCAGAGCAAGAATACAATATCTTGGTGAACTTCACTCCCAGAATGCATTAATTCAAAATATCGCCATAGAACAAACCAATCGATTAGGGACTCATTAAATACAGTTGTTGCCAGAACAGGAAGATGAGACTACGAGCGGTGCATGCCGAGGTAGTTCTATACACGCTCACTCTCCCTTCACCAGTCCCATCTTTTCATTTTCCGCCTTGCTTCGCTGACTCCATTCCGGGGCCTCATCTTCGCCCCTTTCTTCCTGTGCATCCCCTTCTGCCTTGGTTTTGTGCACGGTGCTCGGGTAATGCTCGGCCGGCGCATAGATTGTCACCACCTCCAAGGGAACGTCGCCGATATTGAGGAATTGATGCTGGGTGCCTGCGGGGACGATGACCACATCGCCCTCCTTGAGCTCCTGCTCCTTCCCAGCGACGATGGCCTTTCCCTTGCCGTGTGTGAAGATGAGCGTTTGGTCGACGGTGTGAATCTAGTGGTCATTGAGCTCTTGATCAAGCCATCCGAGGTCGACATGCAAAAGGCAACGAACCTCATCTCCAATCTCTCCATTCACTGGTACTTCCATGGCAACGAACTGGGAGTACAACCCGGTATGTAGGACTTTGCGGAACACGCCAAATTTCCGGTTGGGAGACATCACGCCGGGAAGGTAGACCATTTCATTCTTGGGTGGCTTGTCAACCGTGTTGCCGTTGAATTTGTCGAAGTTGGACATTTTGGCGCCGCTCTGGTGGAAGCTTTGCTGGGGGGAGTTCTTGCAGGAGAAGCTAGGTGCGATGGGCAGGCGGAAAGAAGTGTTTAGGACAGAACGAGTTGTCGCGCGAGAAATGCCAAATTGTCGCTGAAGCAGCATTTTATAGTAACCAGCGTCTCTGGAAGATCGAATGTCATCGTTGGCATTGGCTTATCTTATACAGGGCGTCTAGACCCGTTGACAAATTCGACCGGAAAGGCCGCGGCTATGGTGACGTAAAGGAGCGGATTCTTGATGCGTTCATCATTGATCCATCAAGGAACCGATCCACTGTGTGATCTTCAATTTCGATGATGGAATGATCTGATCGCTCAATAGCCCTGTTTTCACTGCATTAGTTGATGAAGAGTGTCTAAGATCATGGTGATCGATATTGAATGGGTTGTGCCAGGTAACCACCTCACTCCATACCATTGGGGTAATCATAAATGCGGAGTATGATTTTGAGTCCTTTTTAAAATGAACGGAAAACTCTCGTCACTCCAGATCATTAATGTCAGATTGCTCTCGAGGTATATCACTATGATTATAGATATATGATCCCCAGACTAAGGAGTTTATTATCTGACACCTTTTAGTCGAGCAGTATCAGATTATAATCGAGCCCCTAGATTCAATTCTAAGATGGTATAGACTTTCTAGATTAAGTTAGAGCATATAGCGCGCGAGAGTATGTGATACTAGGATATATATTAGAAATAGTCTATGGACACTGTCTTGTAATAGGCTCATTGGGTGGGGAGCGGGCTAACATCCTCACTGTAAGTAGATGCCGTCCTTCTGCCTTCGACATACTACTAGATGGCTAACTGACACAGTGGGATGAGAGTAAGTCTCCTGGGGTAGATACAGCCCCAGCAAGAACTAATACTATTTTCAGTGACTGTCATAGTGGCTCTCTTCGTAGCCCTATTCCAGTATGCTGTCTGTAATGAACAAGGTAACCCTATGCCTCATCCACCCAACCCTGACCGAGCAGAGCAGAATGACCCCACACCGAAAATACCTATTCGATTGAATGCACGGTCAGAGAGTCTGTAAGGGCCCTGCCTGGATACAGTGCTGTAGAGGAATGCCTCGTGAATGTCACTTCTCTCCCTTCTCTTCTCTTACAGAGGAAAGTCTCCTGCCCTGAGATGGCATCATTTTGTAATATTAATGACCATTGGATCGTTCTAGTTCGCCTCTCTGTAAAGAAGATTGAATTACTGTAGTGTTGGTGGAACAGAATCTCTTGACCCGAACTATTGCTGGACAGGTCTTATAAGAAGAGGCTGTGGAAATATATGTATAGTTTCATGAGATGCCTTGATTGGAGCACCACTACTCTGCAAGGCAAGGATTGTTTAACTCAGGACTGCAGATTGCTTTCATACAGGAAAGCTCTAAGCCATGTTCACTAAATACCAATGCAGACATAGTAATTAGGCCAAAGACCAGCACAAGTGTTCCCCACGGCAGGATTCCAGGCGTAAAAGTCATTCAGTGCGATCCCAGCTGCCGCAGCAATATCATAACAGCCATCTCCACTAACAACAAGATAGAACTTCTTGCAGTTGCTCACCATGCCTGTCTGAGTTGGGGTTGGAGTGGCAACCCCGTTGCCAGAGGTCGTTGTAGTAGTCTTAGTAGTAGTAGTAGTGGTACCTGAGCCGCCGATGATGCCCACACAGACGTAGTAATTAGGCCAAAGACCAGCGCAGCTGCTCCCCACGGCGGGATTCCAGGCGTAAAAGTCACTCAGTGCAATCCCCGCTGCCGCGGCAATGTCATAGCAGCCATCTCCACTAACAACCAGGTAGAACTTGTTGCAATTAGTCACCATGCCTGTCTGGATTGGTGTAGGGGTGGTAACCCCGTTTCCTGCCGTGGTTGTGGTGCTCGTAGTCGTAGTAGTCGTAGACGTAGTAGTCGTGGTAGTTGTCGTGCCACCTGATATCACACCAACACAGACATAATAGTCGGGCCAGAGCCCCCCGCAGGAGCTGCCAACTGCGGGGTTCCAGGCGTAAAAGTTGTCGAGAGATATTCCCTGAGCAGCTGCAATGTCGTAGCAGGAGTCACCACTGACAACCAGATAGAACTTGTTGCAGTTGCTCACCATGCCGGTCTGCGTGGGAGTCGGCGTGGTGACGCCGTTCCCGGCCGAGGTGGTTGTGGAAGTCGTCGTAGTCGTGGGTGCCGTCCATGTTGGACTCTGGGAGATATAATTGACCTGCACGCAGTAGTAGAGGCCTGAGATCAGGTTGCAGCCATCACCCAGCTGACTGACGCTAGGGTTCTACCCGAGTCAGTACATGTAGGGAAGAGGATACTGCTGGGCAGCTGGACACTGGCTCACCCATTCCTCGAATTCGGCCGCAGTCATGCCGTAAAAGCGGTGGATTATCTCGCATGTCAGGCCGTATGAGGCCTGCACCCATTCACTACAAGCCGACGCTGCCCCTGGCGCAGGTGTTCCTGGAGGAGTTACCAAATAGGCGTCGACCAGGCAAAAAGCCACCGCGGAGGCAAGAAATCGGAGGGGCTTCATCATTCTGGTCAAGGGTATGTGATAGCAGACGAGGATTGAAGCATGAAGAGAGTGGGATGGGAAGCGAGGTAGTCAAGATAATAGTAACAGCCGCTGCTTTCAAGTCTGCACTCTGCAACCTCTGCATTATTGGCATCAGCCCCGGCCTTCTCCGTTAGCACATCGCTAGGTGTGATTCAATTTAATCCCTCAGATATAGCTAGCAGCCTGACTGTGGCAGCCCTCGGAGTGATTCCCAACTAGTATTTGCCGTGATACCATCACATTTACAGATATTGTAAGCTGATTGGGTAGAGACCAAATTTCAATATATTAAGTTTAATCACATGAATCATGTCACTCACCTAGCCAGACCCTTTTCAAAGATAATACCTTAATATATAATATACTAGGTGGTTGACAAGATCCACTATCAGGCACTCCCCGCGTTAGCCGCACCGGCTCATCTCCGCAACGCACGCCATGTAACATTGCTAAAAGCTCACTCCTCTACTCTGTACATCCTTCAGCATCCGTAGAGTGCCAAGCTGATTTGCCAAGACAGCTCATTTTACAAGAATTGGATCATGAGGCTAAGCACTAGGGTGACTGAGCTTAGTCCAAGGTGATCTTTGCCTGAATCAAAGTCTGCTGACTCTGCTCCACTGCAATGTGCAGATACGACAGGGTTCCCTAGCCGTACTGTACGTCCTGTGTCTACCGTATGTATACCTTAGTATCTATTGTATCTACTGTTTACAAGGATAGAGCAGGAGTGGGACTGTTCTGGTTAGGGGGTTACATTCACTCATGGCTAGGAGGCGAACTTCGGCAAAATGACATTGACAGATGCTCTACCCGTGAGACAATTCATGGGTAGACACTTGGGTATGGAAAGGATCTCGGCTGCCAACTGCCAACTGCCAACTGCCAGCCAAGTCTCTTCTTGTGGTCTGTGGTTTTGTTAAGACTCGCGGATTGACGCTATCCACGCTCCCAGGTTGATACTTATCCAAGGTCCTTTCAACACCCTTTCGACTTTTCCCTTCCATCTTGGTGATAACCTCCTCTAGTCCCTCAGCTCAACATGCGGTGGTCTCTTGCAGGGCTGCTGCCGTCGCTCTGCCTTGTCGTCCTCACCAATGCCTCCCCACTGGGACATGATACCGCCTACGATGTCAAGGAAGTCAACTCCCTCAACACTCTCGTTCGCAGAGTTCGAACCGGCCCAGGTGGTGGCACAGTCACCACCCCAAAGAAAACTACAGATCTCTTTCTGCTAGATAGCGGCCCGGGAGGTTGCACTAGCAAAGAGACAACCCTCGATGACTGGTTGACAGAGGTCTTTCTCCTCCACGACGCGATCAAGACGGCGTACGCAAACATCCAAGGAGACAGGTCTTGGATGCTGATGTGGTACACCTGGTTCGGAGTCCAGCTTGATTTTAAGACCGGAGGTGTGGACGTGAGTGACGCTGCCAACAAGAAGCTATGGGAGACGATTGGAGGTACCTATTTTCACCCAGTTGCCCTCCACACTACGTACGGTGTGCTCTTGGATACCCAAGGTTAATCAATATAGACCACATCTCACGCGTTACCAAATTCCTTTCCGGAGCTGGCCTGGCCAAGCCCCAGGTAGCGGGAGAAAACCCTCGCCTGTTCTGTGGGCCCGAGGCAGGCAAACATCAACCCTGGACTGGATCGGTCGTCAAGGATCATAAAGGCCAAGATGTCGTCACCGAGAGAGATCCCGAGACTCAGCAGCCGATCGAGTACTTGAACCTTGGAACGGCGTTTCTGGAGACATCCAGGAACCCAAAGGCCAATGCCTTCTGGTTCAGCGCGTTCAACGGCTACGACCTTGACTACAAGGGCGAGACAACCTTGTGTCCCGACAAGCGGTACGCCAAAACTGCCCGACCAGCAACGTCGTGGCCAACGATATTCTCGGACGGCGCAGACTTTACCTTTGGCAGAGCCAACAGGCACATCTTGTTTTGCCCCCTGTCCTTTTCTCCTAACGCTGGATCGCATTCCTACTCATCCCTGACAAAGGCCGTCGAGGAGGACAATTACCCCACAGCTGGATTGAAGGACGAGAGCGAGGCTCTGGACAAAATGATGACTGTTAGTTCTACAATGTACCACGAGCTCTACCATCTGACCGATGATGATAACACACCGGATCAGGATTGTACGTATTTGACCCTTCTCCGCGGTTTCTTTCTTCAACCCACTTCCGACTAACCGCTTGGTCTGTAGACAGCCTGAATAACATCATAAGCAACGCTGCAGATCCTTCGAAAAGAGAAGGCAACTCCCACAACCCAGAGACATACACCTTTTTCGCAACGGCGGCGTACCTGCTCCTCAATGCACCCAAGGACGAAGAACCCTGCTTGTACATCGGTGGTTTTCCGAAAAAGGCTTCCGATCCTTTCGCCTGATAATAGCAGAAGGAATCAAGGGCCAGGCGTGGGGTGCGAAGTATCAGATAGGTCGCTTGGCAATGTAACCCTGTCAGAAATTAGGAGCGTTATATTCTTTCAAGTCAGCTGCACATTCCTAAGTAATAAGAATTATAGTGACCGTCTGACTGATTTGCAACGCACCGTAGTACAATGTCTCCGGTTCTACTCAGTACTGAGCGCTAGTATACTTCTCAGGGGCTGTATGCACTTGCAACCTCGCCAAGTGCTAGTCCTTACTAGTGGCAGGGTGAGGGATCGGCAAGTACACCCCATAACGCTCTTCTTACATCCTTGTTCAAAAGGGCTCATATGCTGGATTCAAGCCAGAATTCATCGGGCCGTACTCCGGATAAAGGCAGTACTGTGCCGGCTCGTTTTCTAGTTTGAGGCTACTAGCTTTTGTGATATAGAGAATAAGACGCTTGCTGAGAGCCGGCTTCTTGGCAGTCATTTTGCAGTCTGCACTCATGGCTTGAGTCTGTCGATCACTTGAGTACTTGACCTATCTGGAAAGCAGGGCGGCGAATAGGGCTCTCACCAATGCACCCATTTCCCTGAAGACCGGGGCTCTTGATCTCTTCCTGCCGAATTGTATAGTGCAATGTAACCAGGGAAAGGGTGCGGGGTGGCGCTGCGGCGCAAGCGAGCTGAAGGAGCCAAATTAACCATGACTCGAACCATGCAGCTAGGACCCTTAGGAGAGAGCTAACGCATGTTCAGGGTGGTACTCCGTAAAGGCGCATGCATGATGGCAGGCTGCTAGAGTAAGCCGTAATCATCCCAATCGAGATGATTATGCACCAGCCAAATCATGCAGTCCACTTAGTTGCACACCTCGATACTACCCTGCTCGCACAGGACAGCAAACACCATTCTTCCTGAGGGCAGCGTTGTCCACACATGTCAGACATATAGGGGTGTTTTTCGTGCCTGGGCCCAACTGCGGCTCATGATATTAAAACATACCGCTAATTGCGATACAAGCGAATGTATCTACTATGTACTCCTGAGTACCTCTGAGGGAGCCGGTATTGCCAGCATCCGGATCGGTTAATAGGGGTCAGAGGAGCATGTCCAAGACCGCTCGTCTTGCCTAGGCGCAGCATTGTCCACGCTCCTTCATAAGCCGATCAACTTCGAGGCTGGTGGCAGAGTCCTCCTTCTCTCCCCCCTCAAACATTCTTTGCGGCCTGCTTTGTCTCTCTAAGCGGCCATTCTTTGCCGTATCAAGATGAGACTACCTTCGCTGGCGGTTGTCTGGGCTTCCTCAGCCGCTCTGGCATTAAGCAACAATGCCAATGATGCGGCCAACGCCTTCCTGGCGTCCCTTTCTGTCAGCACCGTCTCTAAAACTGTTGCTGGCAGTCCCACAGACCTGGCAACTGCGCGAGAGGCCATCCTTGCCGGGAACTACACCTCGCGGCTGCATCACCAGGGCAGAGATGGCTGCCCCGGGGGGTGTAGTAGTGCAGGTATTGACACCAGCGCCTGGTTCGTATACGGCAGCCTCGACCGTCTTGACAGGGCGTGCAAAAGGCCCATGCTCCTGGACTTTGCGCTGGTCAACCCCATCAACGACCGGAAGTCGCATGTCGCCATTTCTGCGTGTACCGCGGACTATGCAGATCTCTCGGATCCTGCGCCTGCTTCTAATTCTGCTGCCGCCTGCGCTTTGAAGGGAGTGGCGCAGACCAAGACGACATCGTCTTTGCAGCTGGCATCTTCGGGTGCTTCGTCTTCGACGCACGTGACTGATGTCGCCGCTGCTCTGGAGCAACTGCGGGCATTTGCAACACTGTCTGATGCCGGCTGCAACGAGACCATCAAGTACGCCTACTCCCGTGACGTGGCTGTGGGTGTGTATGCTGGTTCAGGACTTGCTGGCCAGGGGGTGCTCAGCGCGGTTCTCCAGAAGCTCAGCGCTCAAGTCAAAGACGACGGCAGCGTTGCCGAGAGCCTGTCAGTCGAAATGTGCAGCAATTCCACGGCCCGGTACTCATTGAGTGTCCTGGTCAATACCAAGGGCGACCTGGGTGCTGTCCAGCGGGGACTGCAGGTGTCCAAGAACGGCAGCTGTGTGTCTACGGAGACCAGGCCGGCTGCCTCTGACTGGCAGACAGTGACCTATCTTGTTCCTTCTGCGACCAACATCACCCGCACCAGTAACTCGACCAAGCTCGCTTCAACTCGTGCCACCGAGTGCCGCACCATTCAGGTAGACTCCGGAGACTCGTGTGCCTCACTGGCGACCGAATGCGGCATCACGCCGGCACAGTTCACAGAATACAATCCCGACTCCAGTTTATGCTCGAGCTTGACCCCAGGCAAGCATGTCTGCTGTAGCGCCGGTACTCTTCCAGACTTCACGCCAAAGCCCGGCGCGGACGGCTACTGCTACTCGTATCTCGTGAAGACGGGCGACTCCTGCGCATCACTTGCGGCGGCCTACGACCTCACCAATGAGAAGATCGAGTCGTTCAACAAAGAGACCTGGGGCTGGAATGGATGTGAAAAGCTGTTTGCTGACTACAACATCTGTCTCAGCACTGGCTACCCGCCCATGCCGGCCACCATTCCGAATGCTGTCTGTGGACCGCAGGTCAATGACACGGCAAAAGCACCCCCGGGGACGGACCTGAGCACCCTGAACCAGTGCCCATTGAATGCGTGCTGCAATATCTGGGGCCAGTGCGGAACGACGGGAGACTTCTGCACGCCTTCCAACTCGTCCACGGGGGCTCCAGGAACGGCTGCCCCTGGCGAGAACGGGTGCATCTCCAACTGCGGGATGGACATCATCACGTCCAGCGCGCCCGCGGAAACGTACAGCATTGCTTATTTCGAAGCCTTCAACTGGAAACGCGCCTGCCTGCGCATGTCCGTCAATAGCATTGACACTTCAGCCTATACACACATCCACTACTCCTTCATTACGCTGAACGAGGACTTCTCCATCAACACCGATGAAGTTGCTGACCAGCTGCCACTCTTCAAGGGTATGGCCGGCATCAAGAAAATTGTGTCTGTTGGCGGGTGGGCGTTCTCTACAGAGCCCGCCACATACCAGATCTTTCGCAATGCTGTGGCCACCCAGGCAAATCGCAAGACGCTGGTCACGAACATCATCAAGTTCCTAGACGACTACAATCTCGACGGCGTCGACTGGGACTGGGAGTACCCTGCCGAGCCCGACATCCCTGGCATCCCAGCGGGCACCGAGGCTGAGACTACCGGTTTCTTCCTGCTGCTGAACGAGCTCAAGCAGGAGATGCCATCTGGCAAGACAGTCTCCGTCACCGCACCCGCCTCGTTCTGGTACCTCCAGTACTTCCCTATCGAAGCTCTGAGCCTCGTCGTCGACTACGTGGTGTACATGACCTACGATCTGCACGGGCAGTGGGACTACATAAACAAGTACGCAACTCCAGGATGTCCGTCCTACGACCAGGGATTGGGCAACTGTCTGCGGTCCCACGTCAACCTCACCGAGACTATCAATTCGCTGTCCATGATCACAAAGGCGGGTGTGCCGTCCAACATGATCGTCGTCGGTGTCAGCAGCTACGGCCGCTCATTCAAGATGACCACCCCGGGCTGCTGGACCGAGCAATGCACCTACACGGGCCCCGACTCAGGGGCGTACCCGGGCCGCTGCACCAACACCTCTGGCTACATCTCCGACTACGAGATCCGTGAGATTATCCGCCAGAACCCCACAGTCCAGGAGCACTGGGATGCGGACTCGTACTCCAACATTGTCGTCTTCAACGACACGGAGTGGGTTGCGTACATGGACGACGACAACAAGGCAACGCGCAAAGCCCTCTACCCAGGGCTCTCTTTCCTTGGAACTGCAGACTGGGCAGTGGACTTGCAGTCTGAGAATGGCGGCGGAAGTGGAAGTGGCTCAGACAACAGTTCATCCGGCGGGACCATCTATATCAATCCTGATATCTGGAACTCCGCAGCGCCTGTGGTGACTGCTCCCCCCGGTGCATCGCTCATTTGGCCCCCCATGCCTCTATCAACTCCCACAACCATCACTTTCCCTCCGTGGACGACGACCATCTCGTACTCCAGTCTTACAACGCGCACGAGCACTCTTTCCGACGGCACAACCTCGACGTATCCGGCGTATGTCTATGAGTCATGGCTGACTGTGATCACGATTCCTCCCTGTGAGTATTCTATCTATACCTGCCTCTTCTTCTCCACCGTAAGGATACGCAGTTCACTAATGGACGCAATTTTCCAGTGACGACCACGGCCATCAATGTCTGGGGCGTTTCCCTTCCTAGCAGCTCCAGCTCCAGCTCGACAGGTGGCCCCGTTCCTATCATCTTGAGAAGCTCGGTGCAGCCACCCCCATTTACCATTACCGTTACCCCGTAAGTCTAAGCCTTCCATACCTCTGGGACGAGAAACTTCCTATTAACCAACTCAACTCGTTCTCTTTAGCGTGCTGAGCGGCACCACCTCTATCATCGGGGCCACCGAGACCACGACAATTTCCTTGGACCCCGTCATCTGGGGCTCCTCGACCTACTCCCCTCCGGTTGAAACGAGGACTCTGGGTGGAAGCACCACCGTCATCGGCGGGCAGACCTTGCCCCCGACACCCATCACTATCACGCCCAACCCGCACCCCACGACCACGCCGGAACCCGGGACCACGGACCCTGCGCTCAATTCCAAGAAACCCTCCTGGACACCTGGCAAGCCACCGACCCCTACGGCCGAACCGGGCTGTCCTGGGTGCGGCACTGGTTGTGAGTCGCTGTGTTTCTTTGTCTTGTTTCTCTTTACATGTGGATGACATAGCAACTAACACGACTTTCACCATCTAGGTCTCCTGTTCTGCAATCCTGACTGCCCCTTCTGTCCCCCGGGTGCATTTGGCCCTCCTGGCGGTGGCGGAGGGGACAACAATAACAATGATGACGACGACGATGACGACGAGGACCCCGATAACAAGGGCGCTCAATACACGATTGTGTTTGACTCTATGGCCGACGACCCCTTCGCGACAGCCTTTGTCGCCGCGGCGGACCTCTCTTCCCTCGATGCTGAAGTCATGTCTCGCGTCAGCTCCGCGTGGGGCCTCAGCACCACCACCACGACAACGACGACTACGAAGCCGACGACTACAACGACGGAAAAGCCCACTCCCACACCGACTGCGGACTGCATGTTCTGGGACAGCGTCTTCTACTACACGTTCGAGATCTACAATATCGACGGCTGGGTGTCAGACGGCGGCGACTCGCTGCACGACGAGGAGGGCGGGTGCGGCGCTATGACGGGCTGGGAGTGGCACGAGGAGAGCTCGGACCACTATGCGTATGTGTACTTCAACTTGCCTTTCTTCATGAAGGCTGGCTGCGTGGAGCGCGCGATCGTTTCGGCTGGCGGACCGAAGATTTCGTGCCAAGGGGGAGGGGTTGGCCCGACGAAGCGAGACGTCGACGTTGACGTTGACTTTGACATCGAGGCCGAGGAGGAGGAGGAGGACGAGGACGAGGACGAGGACGGTTGGACGAGACTAGATGCGCGAGGCACCGGGAAGACTCTGGACACGCCGGCCTTCCCGTCGTGGACAGACGAGCAGCTGCAAGAGTTCCAGAGTTTCTATGAGGCTATCAACATGCAGTCTGAGACGGCGGATAAGACCTATGTGCCGATGACCTGGGGGGCGACAAGTACAAGTCCGATGACAACTTCTGCTTAGTGATCAGGGTCCTTGTAAATGGTTCTAGATATGTCCTAGGTACCATAGCTTGTAGCCTTGTTCCCGATGAATAATGCACGCAATCCAGGCGCACTGATGGGGAGTACCCGGGTCCATGTTCACCTGTACAAATACCTGCGTATAGTACCAGGCACAAGCACCCATTACGTAGAATTGCTTCTCTCGCTACTGCTACCTAACTAGTTATTATTCTATCAAACCCTGGGAGGGGTCACATCACGTGCCAGGCTCTACGGGAGTATATATATATTCACTAACCCCACCCGGTTCTCGACATTATCAGCCCCCTCTACACCTCCCTCCAAAATAGAATAATACAAGATCAATGCCTGAGACCCTCCACAAAAGTGAAAGCAATGATGGTACGGGCGACCAGACTGGGCCTGGAATCCTGACTGTCAAGCTCGGCTGGGCTTATGGCCTGAGCCTCCCAGACGACCCAGACCCAGACCCGGACGTGTGCGAGCGATGGCGCCCGTACGCGATCGGAGAATATGAAGGGTGCCAGGTGTCCACAGAGGCGATGGCCGTCTACGCCGCCAAGGGAGCGGTTTCATGGGCGGCAGGGCACCGGCCGTTCAAGTTTGAGGTGTCTGCGTCTCCGGCCTCCGAGTTGACGGTATCCCTATTCGTCAGGGACAGCGACTGTGATGCGTCGACGTCGTCGTCGGGAGGATACGAAAACCAAGTCATCCCTCTTGGACTGATCGGATTGAACCCGTTCCTGACAAGTTCGGGTAAGCAAAGGGTGGACGTCCAGGATGGCACGGGGAGAGTGGAAGTCGAGGTTTCCTACACGCAGGAGGCTTCGCCCTTGGAGGCGCGGGAAGTGTGGAGCGTCCGCGGGGAGAACAGTTCTGGTGATCCTGATCTCGTCTATGTCGAAAAGAAAGACACGGGTCGAAGCTACGGCATGAAGGCCATTGATATCCGCACCGTGCACGCCGTTGCTGCTCCTGGATCTGACGCTGACACGGACATTAACATGGCACCCAGCCTTAGCCTCCGCTCTGCCATCCAACACCCTTTCATCGCACCGCTTAAATTCGCTTTCAGGTCGTCTGAAGGGGCGCTGAATCTCCTTTCGCCACTGGCCAGCGGCGGATACCTTTTTGACCATTTGCAAAGAGAGCGGCGGTTTGATGTCCACAAGGCGAGATTTTACGCTGCGGAGCTGGTATGCACACTGGAATACCTGCATGACAAACATATCATTTTCGGTTCTCTGGAGCCGGAGAATATTCTCCTGGATTCCTCTGGCCATGTCAGTCTCTGCAAGCCTGGCCTTTTCGGATTGGAATTGGGGGATGGAGATCGCATTTTGCCCGGCATGGCCAAGTATCCAGCCCCCGAGGTCCTTCTTGACGACCGAGAGCCTTCCCGGGCAGTGGATTGGTGGGCTTTGGGGATCATTCTCTTTGAGATGTTGACGGGCATGCCCCCTTTTTACCACAAGGACGACGGCGAGCGGCGGCACAAGATCATCGACCAAGACCTACAGCTACCTGAGAGCCTGCCATCGACCGCGAGGGACATTTTAACCAGGCTCCTCGATAAAGACCCCATAGGACGCTTAGGTGCAAACGGAGCCGCCGAAGTGAAAGCCCACCTGTTCTTCCACGCTGTGAAGTGGCATGAATGCCTCCAGCGGAAATATGCAACTCCCTTCAAACCCCACGACGCCACAGCGGTCTTCTGGCGGGAGCCTTATACATACCAGCCCTTCAAACGCCCGGACAGAGAGCAACGAGAATTCGAAGGAGAGATGTACGAGCAAATAGGCACCACTGAGTTTCCTTTGTGGATACCAATAGGTTCGGTCAATGACAAAAGTAAAAGTAACGCCGCAGACAAGAATGCTTCAGTCTCACTGAATCGCGGCGATGATGATGGATGGGAGTTGACGTGGGAGCCAACAGAGCAAGAATTGTACTTCAAGAATCGTTTCACTGACGAAAGGAATACGGCCAAACCCAAAGCTGCAGTCCGGGACAAGATGTTGCCCCCAGCGGTTGAACATCCTAGTGAGCGCCAGAAAGAGGAAGCACTCGCAGCTGCATTGGAAGCCGGATACAGCAATCAGGTGTTCTCTCAGATCCTCAGATACAGTACAAATCTGAACGTGCGGATTCTCGACTATGACCAAACGCCCGACGGTATAGGGATAAGACCAGATACTCGGGACATAATACCCGTTACACCACTAGAATGGGCCGTAGAGCACGAAAGGCTCGATCTCGTGAATCTATTCCTGGATAACGGCGCTGACGCGAACTTCACCGTCTCCCCACGAGACGGACCGGCGCTGCTCAAGGCAGTGAAAAGAAAGTCCCAGAGGCTGGTTGAGATTCTTGTACAGAAAACCGACCGCGTCTCCTGCACCAGAGCCCTCGCTCTCGCAGTGGAGCAGCAGGACATCACGACCGCCAATACCTTGCTTGCACATGGCGTGCGCTGCGACTTTGAAGAATCAGATCGGCCTCTTCCGCCTCGTCCCTTCTTCGGGGACTACGACTCCGATCTTTCGCGAGGACTAGGAGCGGAGGACCTGACGCCTCCTCTCGTCCGGGCTGCTAGACTCGGCAACGTGGCTCTGGTTGCCTTGCTCCTTGAACACGGCGCAGATGCCAATACCGCCTACCACGATCTCGGCGGTCGCCGCGATGGATATGAAACCAGAGATTCGACAATCCCAGCCAACTTCTCGTGCGGAAGGGTCGTACAGATAGCGATGGAGATGGGTCATTCTGAGATCGTCCATTTGCTCGTCGATGCCGGCGCAGATATCAATCTTACACACCCGGTCTGGCCTAAATCAGTCTGGCCGGTGCCGGGTCACATCTGTCAGCCGGTACCGAGGGCTGTGTACGTCGAGGTCAGGGCTGGCCTGGAGGCAGCGGTAGCAGCAAGAAAAGGCAAGGCTAGCTTCATTCCAGATTGATGTAGTACCATGATCCCACTCTCATGAAGGAGTATTTAGAAGTCCATATCAGTGTTCCGTGGGTGTCTTGTCTTCTGGCAGCTATGTATTCTTTTCAGCAATTGAGGGTTGAATCATGGCGACCATCACGGCCATCCACTCGCTTAGGTTACAGTTAGTTATCTTCCCGGCAATCTTCGGTTCAGTCCTTCGGGCTTCAAGAAGCAAGCCTGATGGTGTTACTGTTCTCCTTTTGAGGGCAGGGATATCTTTGTTGATTGCTGATTGCACTGGGCTACCATAAGTATATCGACCATTTTTCATGGTGAGACAACTCCATCTCAGCCTTTTCCTTTGCTACCACCCGTCGAATCCTGCGATATATGGGCCATGGCATAGGTGAACGCCTCTCCCCTCTCTGATACCTGTGGAGACGGTGGAGCTGAGACATTGCGCACAGATAACCCCAGTATACCATAATTGTACTAGCATTGGTGTCGTTGGTGGCTGTGGGTGATCCCTGTTTGCCCCTCATTATTGCTTGATAAATAACGCTATGCTTTGTGCGGTTGAGTTCGGTTCATGGCTGCGCTTGTCTGCGGGTGGCTTCCTAAACCGTCCAGATAGTCCAGTTTCACCCAGTTGGAGGGGGAGGTTGGCGCCACATAGATCCTACAGAGTACAGACTGAGTGATTTCCTGGTGGGAGGTTGAATCGAGGCAAGCCAAGAGGGACCGTGGATGATGCTGCTCCGTCAAAGTCAAACAGGGTATCCATCATTGTCTTCCGCCATATCCCCTAAACGCAAGATGAACACGAGACAATCAAGTCGTGTCCTTTGGAAATAAACCTACTATGTGCTCCATCCCCAGACCCTACATCTGTCCCCTGCATTGTGCTGACCCATTGACCCACCATGGATGAGGTGAGAGTCTGGCAGGCGGGGAATCAATGCAGCATCACCATTGATTGAATATCGGAAATGATGTGATGGAGACACTGTCATCCATCAGCCAACAATCTTCCTTGTCTCCTCGTTTCATTTATGCAGTCTCCACCAAATCCCAAAGATAGAGTTGCTACGGTTGCTACACATTCTGACCCTATTGGATGTGCCCCTGTGTCCCGCCCTCTGCCTCAAGTCAAATGTACCCCCAGTCGAAGCACAGCACAGGCGGGTGGAGGTGACGGATTTAAAGGGATGCAAAGTCCCAGATGCCTACTGAGCTTTTGTGCTCCAGGTCATCATTCAATTCACCTTTTTCATACGCCCAGCGCTCCGTACCTACTAGGGATATACTACCTTCAAGATGATTGCCCCTACGGACCCTGTTCTGTCCTCCAACTCGGAGACCCCAATGACTCGGTTCGTCCCTGAAATCTCAAAAGAGGCCCTCAACGACAAGGTGATCATGGTAGTAGGTGCGTAGAACCTTCAGAATGTGGCTCCCGTATCCGATGCCTAACCTCACTGCAGGTGGTGCCAATGGTATCGGCGCCAGTCTGGTCGAGCTCTGCTGCGAGAACGGCGCCAACGTCTGCATTGGGGACATTGACGTGGCACGCGGAGAACAGCTGAGCAAGGAGTGTCTCCAGCAGTGGCCCGTCTATTCAGACCCAGCTCTACCACCCAAGCCACCCCGCAGTATCTTTAAAACTGTCGACGTGACCGACTACCAGTCGGTGCTCGACCTGTTCGACCACGCCTTCTAGATCTACAACCGCATCGACCACGTAGTCGTCACCGCCGGCAGCATGGAGGCAGGCAAGAACTGGTTCGACAGCAGCCTGAGCTTGCAGAGTGTCCGCCAGGTAAGAACCCCAGCCCGTCTCTCAAAACACTGAATTGACGCGACAAGATGCCATCCCGTACCGACATCGATGTGAACCTTCTCGGCTCCCTCTACACCACCCGCATCGCGAGCGTCTACCTCCGTCACAACCGCGGCGTGCACAACGACCGCTCCATCCTCCTTTTCTCCTGCGCCGCTGGCTTCAAGGAAACCCCCGGCGTGTCCGTGTACCAAGCCGCCAAGCACGGCGTCCAGGGCCTCATGCGCTCCCTGCGCCCGTACTTCTCCTCCCCCTCCAAGCACAACCTTCGCATCAACACCGTTTGTCCCTGGATGACCCAGTCTTGCGCCACCGGCGCCAAAAAGGTCGGTGACCGCTGGGCCAAGGAGGGACTGCCGGTTAGCACTACTCTGGAGGTGGCCGAGGTCGCGGCGGGGGTGTTGGCTGATCCGTCACTAAACGGGACTTCAATGTATGTGGAGGGTGGGCGAGCCTGGGAGATCGAGGCCAATATCGACCGTCTGGAGCCGCAGTGGCTGGACGAGGAGCCGTCCCAGGTGCTTGCCAAGGGGCAGAAGGTGTTGCATGAAGCATGGGCTGCTTGAGCTGCTTGAGCTGCTCTGCGAGATGTCTTGCTTTAGGTGTATGATACCCAAGAGGATGATCATGGTGCAGGTAAATTCAGGGAACTGACAGTATTTCGGGCTGGCTGCTAGTTAGATACATTTGTTAGCTGAAATCAATACAGCATTTTCTTCAAAGATTTGGTGTGCCTCGGATCAATATTGTATCCTCGTTGTCAACAGAATTACCGAGCCCGGTTGAATCCTCGGGACCAAACATGTCCAGCACCAACCTAAGCCCGTAGTGCCCCGTATGCAGGCCAGAAGAATAGAGATCCTAGTCAAATATTGTTACCTTCTTCTTCTAGAGAGGCAGCTACTCTGGCTTGGATGGAGTATTGGCTCAAGTTACTATTACAACAGTGATTAGAGCTGGTAGAGCTGAAAAACTCCATAGACCAACAGGTAATCATCAATCAATGGCAGCTCAGTTATAAAAAAACATTGAATCAAGCATACCAGCGGAGAAGACAAAAGGCGAAACAGAAACAAGAGAATCAAGTCAAAGTGGGAACCTCCCAGCTCATCCACGGCTTGCTATCAAACGCAATCCCCGCATAATTCTTCTGCACCGTGGTGTTGGCCTCCATCCCCAGCAAGAACCGATCGATAAACGCAAACAGATCCCCCCTCTGCTGATCCGGAAACGAGCAATGCGGATGATCCGTAGACATCGAATAGCCCATATAGTCCGGCACCCCCATCGCCTGCCAGATCAGCCTCGCTGTCCCCATACACCCCAGCGCCGACCACGGGCCCAGCCACTGATATCCCGCATTGTCGATGGACAGCAGACCCCGCGGGGCAACCAGTCCCGCCAGCAGATGGTGGTCAAACGGGAGAAGCTCAACGTCATTCGCATAGGTCTCGAACGCACTCGCGAACCAGACGTTCTCCTGTACGATCTCCCCCGCCGTCTGCACGCTCTGCGGCGCGCCGTCTTCTGCCTGCGCCAGCCGCCAGCATCCGGACCCCCCCGTGCCGGATTCCTGGGGTACGGTGAGTGCGATCCGCGGATCGAATGCGCCGGCGACTAGTGCCCCCTTGCCGTTGCGCGAGCAGCCCGTCACTCCGATTCTGGGTGTGTTGATTCTCGCGGCGGGTGTGGCTTCGAGGCGGTCGATGAGGAGGGATGTTGCCCATGCCCAGGCTATCATTGCGCCGGCGGAGTGGTTGGCCCCGTACAGGTCGTAGAAGAGGCCCCTGCCGCGACTGCTTTGGTCGGTTTGCTGGGCGATCTGGCTGTTGTCGAAGGTGATGCTTGCTACTCCGGGTGGGAGGGGGATGCTTAGCCCCCCGTAGGCAATCATGGCGGGGTATGGTCCTGCTCCTGTACCAGAGGGATAGGTGATGGTTGCCGTGAAGGAGATGGTTTTCCCGGCGTTAGAGGCCGTGATGGTGAGTTTGTTTTGGGTGAAGGTGGAGGTTACGCTGGATGGAGCGGGAGGCTTGGTGCCTAGTTCAAGCTGCTGGAGGAGCGTGCTAATGTGGCTCTGGCGGCATTTCCAGTCGGAGAGAGTGGCAACACGACCGGACTGCGACAGTGGATACCACGAGAAGGGATCGGGGAGTGTGGTGATGGACTGCAGCTGGGGGGAGGGAGGGAGACTCGTGCAGTTGGCGGCCAAGGCTGGATGGTCAGTATGGCAACCGAAGAGAGAAAGGTGGCTTACCTCCAATGGAGCAGAGGCAAAGCAAGACTGAGTAGTAGAGTATCATTATGTTGTCGTGCCGTTGCTGTTGACCTCTCGATAACCTAGTCATCATGCCGTTTATATGCTCGAGACAGGGCAATCACCCGATGAGTGTTGAACTGCCTCTACGTGTTTCAGTACCAACATGATTAGGCTAATATCTAATGTTACATCGTGATCTACATAATCTTGTGATCACATTCGCAAGGATCGTGGAAAAATGCATACATTTAGCATATACTGCCGAATGCAAGGTCAATGGTAGGTCGACGGAACCAACGAGTTGGCCCACACTTCCAGATATGTATAGCCACTGCTGTGCAGTTTCATAGAGTCTTTGGTATTTGGATCTGTTCCCAACTGCTTCTCCGCTTCATCAGGGATTCCATCCCCATCGGTGTCCGTCGCAGGAGTGCCTCCGTTCAGAGTCCCTGCCCCTCCCATAGTAGCTTCATCGGAGATCAAAGCACCCTTCGTACCCCAAGACTGTACTTGCGCGATCAACTGCGTGTCGACACTATCCCTAACCTTGGATGCTCCGGCATCTGTTGAACTGAGTTAGCCGGTGCACCCTAAGCGAGGAGAAACTCACATTTGGTCACGTAGGTCACCGCTTCGGCTGGGGTCATGGTATAGGCCACCGCTGGATAGTTATATTTGGTCGACACGATTTCCATGCCACCGTAGTTTGACGATGACGCGCCGAGTTCAAAGCCGTCCAATGTCCCATCCTGGTCAGGGTCATAGTAGTTGTTGTCGACGTATCCGTGGAAGTTTGAATTCCCACGAGTAAACGCCGTCACCGATGTCGAGGGACCACTGATGAAGTAATTGCCAATGATATTGGCGTCTAACAATTAGCTGGGCCACCGCAGAGGGGAGTTGGCATACAAGATTGACCATCAGAGTCTCCAGCAATGTATCCTCCGCCACCGCCCCAGTTGTACACGACGTTGTTGGTAAACTCGTTGACGCCCTTGACCTTGGGATTGCGCGTCTTGTTATCAATGTACAGATTGCGGAACAAGGAGACCCCGCCGTCAGTCTGTATCAATCCACCGCAGGAATGGGTCTCCAGCCCTTGAGCAATGATGCTGTTTTGCACGGTGATATTGCTACCAGTTCCACTGATGGAAAACGTCTCGTCGCGTCCCCAGGAGACCGAAACGTGGTCGAAGATCATGCTATTTCCTTCGGCGATGGTGATGGCGTCCTTGCCTGAAGTGCCGCCCTTGCCCATGCGACTAGAGAGTTTGTCAGATCAAGCCCAATAATGGTCAGTGAAGGAAGCCTTCAGACATACATCCGGATATATCTCACAATCGCATCATCCGCATTAGAAAAAGACCAGCCATTCCCATAAACCGTGACGCCATCCCCAGGCGCGGTCTGTCCCAGTATCGTCACACGCTTCGAAACTACGATTCGATCGGAGATGTTAATCACGCCTCCGACCGCAAAGACAACGATGCGATCAGTCGTAGAAACAGCATCACGTAGCGAGCCTGTTCCGGAATCGTTCAGGTTGGTAACCACGTAGACTTCGCCCTTGCGGCCACCGATCGCGTTGGCGCCAAAGCCTTCGGCTCCAGGGAACGCGATCAGCGCCGTGGCAGATTGAGAGAAAGCAGCGAAACTGACGAGAAGAGGTGCAGATAGCTTCATATTGAAGGTATGGTCTGCGAAAGTCGGGAAAAAAAGGAGGGGCCAACTTGTATTTATATACGCGAGTTGCAGACATGAAGGAATAAAAGGAATAAGCATGATTGCTGCAGAAATTACCCCGTGCCAAATAAAGCCGTCAACTTGGGGAACCTGCAGGGTCCGAGATAAATTAAAAAGGTTCGTGCTGAGGATATTCTGGTCAATCGGAAGAGGAGGTTGAACCAGGGGCAATTTAGGCAGTCTCATGATGGACGACAATGACGATCATCTCCACCTATCATCTTCATTCACTGGCAAGGATGCTGGCTGATTATTCTTGCTTGAAACTCTTCAAATAGAGCTGTTAGACAGGTGGAGAAAGCCAGCCCAGTTTGTGAGTAGGTTACTGATTGGTGATCACAAGGATAGTTCTCGGGAATAGATAAATGAGGAAGAGTATACGGAGTGCTGATTGACCATAGTTCTATTCTAAGAGAAGAAGGGAAGTAACCTTTACTCCATGTTTGTGCAACCTGAATGCTATAATGAAGAAAGTGAAGTGAAAAATCGATATAGTGACAGGCGAATGTAACTTATTATCATTAGACCATGATCACAGTTCTTCATAAGCTCATATGCGACAATGATGAGCTTTCATATCAGACTATTACATAGCAAATCACTCCTGATATCATGCTGAAACAGTGATTCAATCCCGGCACCGGCGACACGGTCTCTAGATTCGAGGAATCCACTTGCTGACTATCCAATGTACTGCGAAGAGGGTGATTTTCTCGAGGCATGCGCTGGGGCCAACAAGCTTCTGGACAGTAGGAGGAAGGAAATACCAAACAAAATACCAAACAGCGCTGTCGACAAGCAATCTCCCAAAGCCGAGTCCATGGATCGGATCAGGCAGTTCTCGGTCTTTAGGCTCTTCGACTTGTTCCTGCTGGAGAATGTGCGTCTTCAACAACAGTGCCTCAATGACGCAGGCAATCTGGGTGTATCCAGTCAGCATCTGCAGAAGATGTGCACGGTGACAGTAAATTACCTCGAGAGTGAGACTCGCCAGTGATTGACCACATACATCCCCCATCACCATGGCCAGGAGGTCAGGGTGCTCGCTAAAGTGTAAACGTCCCAAACCTACACAGAAACTGAATTCGAATCCATAAAATCTCTCTGTGATCCATCCTAATCCGCGACTTAATCCGAAGACGACAAAGAACATGAAGGGCCTGCGCTGAGTGATCGCGCGAGAATGTGTAACCTGCAGTTTAATCTTCTCAGACTGTGAGAATGGTCAGCTAGTAGTACTTGGGCAGGTGCATAGTAGGAGGTAGACACTATATAGTAGGTAGAGAGGAGGAGTTCCATGGGAGGCCAAAGTAAGGAGCATCCAAAGTTTCCCAGACCAGCAGATACCTCACCTGAAGTGCAAATATCCCAGTTGACTATCTATACACACCAGGGTGCCTTCGTACCAGCATGGAAATTAAGCGTTTTCTCTGCTTGATAGAGGGGACACAATTGCGAAGAGAAACCCTTTCAAGGTAATTATTGGACAATGTCTACCCATCAATGAAGGCCGCCTGTGGGTGGTTACAGGAGCTAAGATGATACTGGGTATTTATTCGCTTCTAGAATTCGATCGCGGCGAGCAAGCAGGCAGTTAGCAGGGGTAAAAGGAGCGCAAGCAGATTGGATACAACTACAACACGGTGTCGAACAAGCAAAGGTCTATGCAACCGATTAACCAAATCATTTGACCTCAAGCTATGCCGAAGCCTCATCCTAACGGTACAGGAACTCGGATCCCCAGTCCCACGAGCATAGCGGCTTCTTGAGTGATCAGGGATATTGAAAGGGATGGCAGATCAACCACAGCAGTATCTCGGACTTGGAACAGTCAACACGTTGTTGTACAAGGTAGTCGAGGTTCGTTCGTGTCGTCAATTGTGCTCATCGTTCCCGAGTTTCACGCCGACTAATTCTGAAGAACAAAATACAAGTCAGTAACCAAAAGTCACTATATAAGGCCTGAGCAAACGCGAAGACTCACAAGCACTTCAAGGCATGTCAGCCTAGGACTCCGACGAGCTGCAGCGTCATATTGAAAGACATAAGTGGTCGTGGCATACATACGTCTTTTCACGAACCTTCAACAGAGCCAAGGCATTAGGCGTGGCCACACTATCGGAAAGCTGCAACCGCTACTGTTTCTCCGAGCCTTCCAATGTCCAGTGAGGTGTTAGATAGGAATTGTTTCAAGCTCTGGAAGTCGGAACTTGGTGTTCTTCAGACTGTGCAGAACTCTGATCCATAAGATCATTTGATTCCGGTGCCACAAGGATCGGCGATAGCAAGAAGCGATTGTCATTGTGCCAGCGGTCGTGGTCGATGAGGCTGTGAATTTCCGGTATTCTTTCCGCGGTCATTGCCACATGTCGCTGTTGACTATTCCGTTGACTTTCTGGCTTGGGTAACACTGACCATGGTGTTTGACAGTAGTGGCAGTTGACTGGGGGCAACCGTTGATGTTGACAGAGCCGAAGGCCGAACTACCATTTGTACGTTCGGGGTCCTGGATGCGAGGAAGCTCGGATGGACATATCGCATATGGCCAAGTCGTCTGTGGGACGGTTTCACAGGCGAACAATGGATCATCAACAACATACCGTGAGCGACAGCGGGGGTGTCTCGCTGGATCCAGGAAGGACCACCAACATAATACCGAGAGCGACAGGGGGGGGGGGGGGTGCCTAGCTGTACCCGAAGGTGCTAGGCTTGTCGGATCTAGCTGGACTCTACACGCGCTAGAGTGCTAGATGTTGTCACCGCGGCCGAGAAGGCAGTCCATCTTAGAGGGAGCCGAATTGTCAGACATTGCTAAGGAAAATGGCTGAGAAGCTGTGGAGAGAGAAAGGAAAAAGGAAGAAACGTGCACCATGGCACCTTGCGAGTTATTCTACAATCTGAGTATGTTCAGTTGCGGTTTCCGTTTCTGGATGGTGTTGTTATGATCTGCTTCCAGAGGGAAAGATCGCGTAAATCTACGCATATCCAGCACAGCTGTTACGTCAACGGAAAGAGAGATGCTATAATAAAGGACATGGCAAGTAGCAGGCTCTCTAGCCTACTCATGAGAGGCATCTACTATGTCGTTGATTTCGGACTATTCTCAAGCTGCTGTGTTCCAGCCTCACATTGCGAATCAAAATGTCGAGTCAATATATGTCACACTCCGTGCTTAATTTCCTGCTGATCAAGTCTTGATCAATGTCGTCCCAATGTTGAGATGACAACAGATGATACGGACGGTTGTTTCTCTCAGCAAGCCAGTAGCCTGGCCGTTCATTGCATATAAGCCTCGAGCTTGATAATTACTCGGCATATTTCAGCGCAGCGCGACGCCCTCTGTCATGGCATTATCCAACACCCAAAGGGTGAAAGTGTAAAAAGAAGAAGACGCAACCTTGACCTCTCTCTCCCCTCCCCCGATTGTCAGCTCTATATCCCATGCAGGATACAAAACAAGCATGGCACAACAATAAATCTATTTCATAGTCGCATTCAGTTGAATGGGTCTATTTATCATTCTTCAAAATGGAATAAGGATAAAAATCAAGCAAATACTTGAGGGTGGAGGAACAGGGATCAACTAGCGTAGGGGCCATGCAATCTCCTGCATTGCATCAACTTCATCCTTCTGACACCACAACAAATCAGCTTGGGGGCTGCAAAAGTATCACAAATACTTGGGCAGCATTACTTGTTCGAATGTAAAGCAGGACCCAATCGCCAACAGTATAACGAGCATCCGCCTTCATGATCCGCCATCTCGCGCTCCTGCCCCTGCTTCTACAGGCAAATGCACAGCCGGCAGAAGACCGTCTGCTAGAGATCCAGACTTATTCGGATCCATCCGTCTACGACTTTCCAGTGCTTGGTACCAGTGGCTCCTCTTTGTTTCCAATGCGACCTTGTCGTGGAATACAATTAGAAGAAGCGAGCATCGACGACTTGCAGGAATACCTATCCTCCGGGCAACTGACAGCTGTTCAACTGCTTCATTGCTACCTGGATCGTATATTCCAGACGGATAGTTACCTCAAGTGAGCACCTATCCTGTAGCTCAGTGCTGACCACGGTTAATATTGCTGATCAAGCACAGTGCCATCCTCCAGCACAATCCCGACGCGTTGGCCATCGCGGAGGCCTTGGATGCTGAACGCGCTCATGGCAAAATCCGTGGCCCTTTACATGGCATTCCCTTTATTGTCAAAGATAATATCGCGACCAAGGACCGCATGGAGACCACCGCTGGCAGTTGGAGTCTCTTGGGGTCGGTGGTGCCACACGACGCGTTTGTTGTGCGGCGGTTGCGGGAAGCAGGGGCGCTGTTGCTGGGGAAGGCCGCTCTGAGCGAATGGGCTGACATGCGATCCAACAACTACTCTGAAGGCTATTCTGCTCGGGGAGGTCAGTGTCGCAGTGCGTATAACTTGACAGTCAATCCCGGGGGCAGCAGTTCTGGCTCAGGCGTAGCTGTGGGAGCCAATCTTGTGCCTTTTGCTCTCGGTACCGAGACGGATGGTAGTGGTACGTGTTGCTTCTTGGAGGTCCCTACTTAGAAATGTCTCTGACAATCGCGGGATAGTAATCAATCCAGCGCAGAGAAATGCTATTGTTGGCATAAAGCCTACGGTCGGCCTCACCTCCCGCGACGGCGTTATCCCTGAATCACTCCATCAAGATACAGTGGGTGTGTTCGGGAAAACGGTGCGCGACGCAACCTACGTCCTGGACGCTATTTATGGAGTTGATACGCGGGATAAGTACACCTTGGCCCAGAGAGGCCGGACGCCTACTGGCGGCTATACTCAGTACCTAAGCGATCAATCATCTCTCAAGGGGGCTGTGTTCGGCCTTCCATGGGAATCTGTGTGGAGATTAGGGCGTCCAGACCAAATATCCCAGCTGATGGAGCTCTTGGATTTGATTAAGGATGCCGGTGCTACTATCATCAATGGCACCGAGTTCCCCCATTACCGCCAGATTGTATCACCGGATGGATGGGATTGGGACTATGGGAGTAGACGTGGATATCCCAATGAATCCGAGTACAGCTACGTCAAAGTCGACTTTTACAACAACATCAAAGCCTATCTCTCGGAACTCGCAAACACCGATATGCGATCTCTGGAAGACTTGGTCGAGTATAATAGAGCCAATTTTGGGACGGAAGGCGGCTACCCCGGTGTCCATCCGGCATTCGGTTCTGGGCAAGACGGGTTTGAGGCGTCTTTGGCTACAAAAGGCGTCATGGATGAAACGTACTGGCAAGCATTGGAATTCTGCAGACGTACTACACGCGAAGAGGGCATTGATGCAGCATTGAAGCACGGAAACCGCACTCTGGACGGCTTGTTGGTCCCGCCGGATGTGGCCCAAAGCATTCAGATTGCGGCCCAGGCGGGATATCCTGTCATCACAGTCCCTGCCGGTGTCAATGAGGAGTCAGGGATGCCGTACGGACTAGCAATTATACAGACTGCCTTTGCCGAACCGACTCTGATCGAATTCGCCAGCGCCATTGAAGACCTGCAGAAAGCCAAGAATACTCCTTGGAGACGTACCCTTCCCGAGTGGCGAGGATACCTGACTCGCAATCTGCCGGTTATCAATGCATGAATAGACCGTTCAGGTCCGTCATTATACGTTCGAGAATGGTAGGTGTTGAGCAAGTGGTAGGCGCTTGTATACCGGGCACGGTTGGTGCTCATTCTCCTCATTGTGGCATGTTAGAGTATCAGGAAGCGAGTCCAGTAGGATACTACTACATTGCTATTGCTGTACAATAGCTTAGCAGCTTTATCAAGATATTTCCCACATACGCTCAAGGACTTTCCGACTCTGTATTATGCAACGAGTGAAGTAATGCATAAAGCGACATGGGTGTAGCACCAAGTGGCTGCGCTCGTTGATCACTATGTCCAGAACAAATAGTCTACTATCATTGATCGCTTGGCTCATCCTAAACCATCCTAGGCGTAACGATATGGAGGCGGCGGAGGATAGACCTGCGATACCACTGGCACAGCTGGCGATGCCTTCTTTGACGGCCGTCGACGACAGCTGCAAAAGATACAGGCCAAGAGGGCAAGAACTAACGCACCGCCAATACCAGCAGCGAGACCAATAACGAGAGATCGATGCCGTTCCACCCATGAGCTCGCATCTTCTGTACACTCTCCGTTGGAACATGACAATCTCGAACCATCATCCCCGCAGCGTTGTCCATCCGACAAAAATCGATCCGCGGGACACACGGTGGAATCCCCGGGACACGTCTCCTCAAGATCACATGGACCGGTGCTCGGACGACAGACCGTATCTGCGGAAGCAAATTGGCAGTCGGTACAGCACGGACTCGCGGCGTCATCGCAGACAGCCCCGGCTCGAAACCGGCAGGTCGATCCATCACAGCAACTGTTCTCGTCGCAGCTGGCGCCGCAGTCGCATTCCTCGCCGACCTCCACAATGCCGTTACCGCACTGCCCGTCTGTGATGGTGGTAATGTTGCTGTTGCTGACCAGGCAGCGGGTGCTGACGCGCCGAGAACCGAGTTGCGAGCAGATGTTCCGGATGCTGCAAGGAGAGAACGCTGACTGTGAGGACGTGGAGACCGGGTTCATGATGTACTGTCCATTTGCGTCGCAGGTGGAAGAGGACAAGGGACAGCACTGCCCTTGACTCGAAGGGCACGTCGTTGAATCACAATCGTGAACGGCTCCAAATGTGTGGCCGGACTCGTGGCTATCAATTCCAGTTGAGTCAGCGTAAAGGATTTGCTGTGCAATGCAATGAGACTTACACAAAAACCTGCCATTCACTGCGTGTGCGTGCCACCACATTCGCACCAGATACGCCTTGCCCTCCCCAGTTGGAATTACACAGCTGACCGAGCCAAGAGACACCGACCTGCAGACCTGACGGACACCCGGTCATCAGCGTCCAGTATGCATTGTCATCGTTGATGGAACTGCGCCACGAGGAGAATCGATCCAGTCTCCAGTTCAGATCTCCGGCAGCGCAGTCGGCATTCCATGGCGTTGAACTGGAAGGACTGCTTGGGCAATCTCGATTGCTAATGGTCAGGTCGTGGAGGGCCAGGGAGATATTGAAGGTTCGCTCGTAGACTTCCGAAGCCGTGTTCACCATGTTGATGACGTTCCGTCGGAGCTCCTCGCTGGAGGTGAACGAGGCCGAGTAGGAGCAATCGGTCGCGATGCCTACCAAGGCGACTCTTCTAGTGCTAGGGCACGGTAAATCTTCATCTGGGGTGAAGGGATTCCCCGAAAACTGGGGCGACCGGGGTACCAGTTGGTCCCATGCATGGTATGTAGAGTCATAGTGAACAACCATCTGTGGTTCCCTGGCGGGTCCTGATGCTATCCTTACCTGGTACTGTTGATCAACAACGCTGAAGATACCTTCGAACAAGGGATCATCCCCATCTCGATGTATGTATATCCGCGCCCAGCCAACCTGATTCCAAGTTGCACCTGCGCCAATGTGCTGAGCAGACACAACTCCCTTGAACAGCTTATGCTGGGCTTTGTTCACGACTTCCGTCCTGCGAACTGCGCCGTCTGTACCGAGATACTGGACCCGGGACTCTTGTGTGAGGATATCATGGTTCGGCTCCAAGCTCAGCTTCAGCGCTCCTTGCCCGGGAAGGCCAAACGACAGCTCGAAGTGTGAGTAGGCATTGACTCGGTGATACGGGGCATGGATACTAATATTCTCGAGTCGAGTCTCATTATCCAAGGCAGCGGTTTGCACCGAATGTGCTGAGGGCGTTAGGAAATGTAGGTGTATGGCAGAGTCCTCATATCTTACCTACAACGTTTCGTTCCACAGCAGCGATCAGACTAATGAAAATGGCGAGTTTGCGAATATTCATGGCTAGATCCCTGGAAAGTCTCTCGCATCATGAAGCAAACCACCGTCCTGTCGAAGATCGCCTGATAGCCCCCATTTCCTTATATGTATTGCTCGCCACTTCAAGGGACGAACAAGCTAGCGAACCATGCCATGATAACCCTGATAGAGCATGTCGCTGTTGCATTCCTGCTAGGCATCCAAATAATCGAAGACACTGGCTGCAATAACCAAGAACAAAGCGATGCACTGTGAAGGCCAAGAGAAGGACTCGTCATCTCAGAAGAATACATTCACACTGAGACTCAACACCATCAACGGTGTGCTCCATTGGCCTAGGCTTTGGCATGAAGATATGCACAGCCACCGGCTGACCGATTACCGTGGGCCCAGTAGCTGACGGATGTCATCGGAGACAAGATGATAACGCCGGCCAAGATGACAGATGCCGATCGATCATGGTAGATGCTGGAGTTGACGGCCCAAGATCGTGCTTCATAATCGATGATAAGGTGGCTATGCTGCTTTTAACTTAATCCTGACACTTTACTGCCAATGATACTTGCAAAACAGTCTCGGTATGGAAGAGTGGGCGGAAGAAACTGCGGTCCACTCCAGCGGAAGTCTTGGCTGTCAGCAACTTGCATCAAGCAGGAGCCCGAGATATTTATCGGATAGAGGCTGGCCGGATCCTCGTTGGTCAGTTACAACGTTTCAAAGACGAATTTCTATCATTCTCCTCGATACTGGGCATAGCTGGACATTCCCACGTTGATTCTCCAAGATGGAAAAGAGCACACAGTCGAGCCGAATCTCTGTTTCCTGCAGATGCTCCACGAAAAGTGCCGCATTTATCCAGCTATCTCTTTGCTATGTCGCGTAGTGGTGACAGGGAGAGACGAGAAAGCCAGAGACTTGCGCATGCCTGCACTCAAATGGAGTTGTTGAAAAGGAGTAGTCCCAAGGAATCCGGTGTCTCTTCATGTGATATAATCAGTGAGTCAACTTATTAATCATTTTTATCCAGTTTCTTATGACCTGAGGCCAAGACTGCCTTTGCTCGTTATTTTGTCTAGGTATCCAGTTGTTGTTTATTATTGAAAGCTACTATGAGAGTCCTCTGGTAGAAAAGAACAACTAATTAGATAGCATGGCCACAGACGTCATGGTTTTTGCTAGATCCAGTTCTATAATCTCTCCCTGAGACTGAAAATGCCCGTCTTTTATCCGGCATATTTCTTCCAGCAGCTCGAATTAGACTCGAACCAAGAGCGCGCCATACTCCGCGACATCTACTACTTGAGAGAATTCCACAAGATCTCGTGCCTCCTTATCTGAATCTCTGGACAGAATCAGATAACTTCGGCGTATTGTGCTAGGAGGTTTACATGGTGGTATAGGATGAGCTATGATGTCCGACCACACATTATGCCACCCTCTTGCCACACAGACAGTTATGACGCGTTGCATTGCATCGATTGCGAGGATGATGATAATATCCAATCAGAACATGATACAGTCAATCCAAGGTCTTTGGCGGTAGAATTCCGGCTAAAGTCAGCGTCGGCTCGTTCCAACTCCATGCGATCCGAAAGGTCGAGAAACTTCCCCTCTTGAGTACTCTCAACCCCCGGATTGGGACTGAATCAGCCTATGGTGATTATGATTGGTACACTCGAGTCATTCTTGTTGGCGCTAGAGTCACTGGCGTCAGTCCATCAACATCTCCCTGCTTAGTTTCACGACTAACCCTGGCAGTCCATGAGGCAGCCGCCATGGCGTTTCGTGTCGGCAGCCACGAAGCTTAACAATATTGAAGATATGGACATTATCATTCTTCGCGATCTTAACTCAACAATAGTCTATAGTGATTCCAGCTTGGCTGAACGATCATGACAAAGAAACAGCCATACTCCAGGCCACTCCGGCCCCACGGGGATAAATGGCTGGGGAAAAGTGGACCACTTCCCCATCAAGTCTGTCACCGCGATTGGTTCAGGATAAATCCATACCAATCATTGCCGAAAATTGCATCCTACGGAGGAGGGGGTAAATGCATGGGCTGATGGTGATGCTCGCGCCGGTTTTGGTCGGCTATCGGGTGAATCAAGCATTTGTTGGCAGGAAAAGCTCTCGACAGGATTTCCTTGGCTGCCGATTGTTCCGAACTGAGCTGTTTCAACTATATATTTAACGATGGTCGAGCCCTTGTTCTCTGGTTCTGTTTCTCGTTGGCACTGCTCTGACCTGCCTTCTTACCCTGTTGTTAGCTTTACATTGAAACAGTCAAAATGGCCGGCGGGATGACTTCCCAAGGCATCTCGGCCAAAAGAGCCGAGCTGGCCGGAGGAAAAGTTGGTTGGCGTGGGTTGCTCAGCAGCAAGAAGACCTTTGGTATTGCATTGTTCGCGTCCTTGGGTGGCTTGGTTTATGGATGTATGAAGTCCTCTTCTGCTACTCTACTCTGCATCAATTTATGCTTCGGAAGCTGACAGTACTAGACAACCAAGGAATGTTCGCGCAAATTCTGACAATGCACTCATTCATCGAAGCGGTATGTGATTCTTAGGACCTAAGGTCGATAGTCGCTCACATTGCCCAGACGCAAGGATACGCAGAGACCACTGGAGTGAAACAAGGAATGTTGACCGCGATTCTGGAACTCGGTGCCTGGCTCGGAACCCTCATCAACGGATATTTGGCTGATGCCACCGGCCGTCGCATCACGGTTATCATTGCCGTGGTGGTGTTTTGCGTTGGGGTGATTGTCCAAGCATGCACCAAGAACCCCGGCTACGTCTATGCTGGGCGGTTCGTTACGGGTCTGGGTGTGGGTAACCTGAGTATGATCGTGCCTCTGTATAACGCGGAACTGGTATGTTCAAAAGACAAATATGAGACTTCTTGTCTGACCTCGTTAGGCGCCGCCGGAAATCCGTGGCTCCCTGGTCGCTGTGCAGCAGCTATCGATTACGTTCGGCATCATGGTCAGCTTCTGGGTAAGTACTTGGTCCACTGGACATTGATGCAATGCTGATGTCTTAGATCGGCTACGGGACAAACTATATTGGAGGAACCGGTGCAGGGCAATCCATTGCCGCCTGGGAGATCCCCGTTTGCATCCAGATCCTGCCGGCCGTAATTCTGGCAGCGGGAATGCTCCTCTTCATGCCGCAGTCTCCGCGACACCTGATGAATCAGGGACGAGAGGAGGAGTGCTTACAGACCCTGGCCAGACTGCGCGATACCTCGGTTGATGACATTTCGGTCCGCATCGAGTTTCTCGAAATCAAGGCTCTGCGCATGTTCGAGGACGAAGCAGCTCGGAAGAGGTACCCTCAGTATCAGGATGGGTCATTCAAGAGTCGGTTCATGATCGGGCTGAATGACTATCTCTCTCTGATCACCGACAAGTCCTTATTCAAGCGAACCACTGTAGCTGTAAGTATCCTCTCGGCGTCGGCTGTCCGGTCACTGACTCGCGCAGTGTATGATCATGGTCTTCCAACAATGGAACGGAATCAATGCGTAAGTTAATGGATCTTGGTCTATAAGAATATTGCTGACATGTCCAGTATCAACTACTACGCGTAAGTGTATCCCGTCTTCGAAGTCAATACCATTTTTTGACATTGAAAAGCCCGCAGATTTTCAAAGGTCTTCAGCTAGGTGGCAAGACCACCTCCCTACTCGCAACCGGTGTCGCCGGTATTTTCGAATTTGTCTTCACCATTCCCGCCGTTATTTGGGTCGATAACATCGGCCGCAAGAAGATTCTGATTGCCGGAGGCATCGGTATGGCCGTCTGCCATTTTATCGTTGCCGGTATCATCGGAACGTACTCGGGCGAGTTCGAGCATCACAAGGGAGCTGGTTGGGCTGCTGTGGTCTTTGTGTGGATCTTCATTATCAACTTTGCATACGCATGGGGTAAGCGCAATATCTGAACTAGAGTCTAAGCAGACGAGCTAACAGAAGCAGGCCCCGTCGCGTGGATTGTCGTGTCTGAGGTCTTCCCTTTGAGCATGCGCGCCAAGGGTGTTAGCATCGGAGGCAGTAGCAACTGGGTAAGCACATTCATTGCAGTTTATACAACATCTCTAACAGAATATAGCTCAACAATTTTGCGGTCGGTCTGTCGACCTCTCCCTTCATCGAGGCCTCTGATTACGGTACCTTCATCTTCTTCGGCGTCGTGACCACCATCGGTGTCCTGTATGTGTGGTTCCTCGTCCCGGAGACCAAGGGCCGCACATTGGAGGAAATGGACGAGTTGTTCGGATCCGGAGGCATGGCCGTCGAGGACGAGGCGCTTAAGCGTCGCATTGAGAGGGAGATCGGGTTGCTGGCTTTGTTGGGCGAAGACCCTGAGTCCAGTGAGGAGAAGACGTCCGAGAAGCTCGAGCACTTGGATCATCACGATCAGGCTGAGCTTCCCAAGACTGTGAGCTCTTAGTGATTGTAATATCACCCAGTGGGAGCAGAGCGCGATGCTTTTGACTATAGCTGAAGATTGTGAACGCACCTTCACAAATGATTAGAAGTGGCTTTTAAGGCATTTTCTCACGGAATATCATAGACAATAGTAATTCCAGCCTCGCTTATCATTAATGATGACACCTGAACATCATTCATCTTGGCCTAGATATGCATATACTCCTCGTTCTCAGCATTCCACTTCAATTGACTCGCCACCTTCGAGTCCTGATATCTTCTCCATGCAGATGCTGGGCGTTTCTCACCGCCGATAGCCTTATAAATAAAGAATGAGATCATGCCGGTGAATCCTGTGACATCTCCAAGTCGCCTAGCGAGACAAGCAAGTCCGGAATTGTCACTCCAAGCGCGGATAAATGTACGGTAAATTTAGCCTGAATTCACGAATCGAGACACTTGATATAATCGAGTGTCTAAAATTATTCCGAGATATGTCCGAACGAGCCCGTGCTCAATTTTAACAGTTGAGGTTCAAAAGTTTGCAGAGAGATGGCTTTAGGGCTCGATGATGACGGTGAAGATATAAGTGCATATCTTTGACGTCAGATTGTGGAACGTCTGGCCTTGTACTGAAACGCAGACATCAATTCAATTATGGAGTTAGATTGACCAGACGAATAAATAAAGCGCCCGGGGTCTATTACTTCCTGAACACTTTGATGAGTATTATGCTTAGATATCTGCGACATGACTGCCTGTCTTGCAGGTCTTCTTTCATAAAGATATCATTCACTGGCCACTTTCTACAGCATGCGCCATATCGCCCAGTGTGTCGAATTTCCAGTCGTAGATAGTATCCTTGGTGTTGCCCATGATCGCTCCTGGTCTTGTAATCCAGACCGACTTGATCCCAACTTTGGAGGCAGGTTGGTGATCGTGGAATTGACTCTGAGCAGTCTGCAGTACCTGAGCTTTTTCGACTCCCAGCTCTGCCTGTACAGTCTTCAACATATACTCGAAGTTGCGCAGGTCAGGCTTGTACGAGCCCACGTCTTGCGCGGTGATGATGCGATCGAATTTCACACCCTGCAAACTCCCCGCGTTCGTCTTGGCGAATGATTCTCGATCAACGTTTGACAAGACAACCAGCTTGTAGTGCTTTGAGAGCCGCTTAAGAGCATCGACTGTGTCGGGGAAGGCGGGCCATGTCCCAACTGACTCGCCAAATGCGAGACTCTCGTCCTCGTTCGGCGGTGCTAGGGAGAGGCGCTGAGCCAGCTTGGGATGAATCCTGGCAAGGAGTTCGGAATACGGCATATCGGGTGTCAGAGCCTGTTGCTCATGCTCAAGCTCATGGTAAACATTCAGGAGATGCTCGCGTGAAACAGAGGAATTGTTCTTGTCGAGGATCGGCTGGAAGGCGTTCACGATCCCAGATTCCCAGTCGACTAGTGTCCCATACACATCGAAGCACAAGAGGCGGTAGTCGGAGAGTTTTGACATTTCTGCTATGATAGAGGATGAAGGAGATGTTACGCTGAAAATAGGGATTTGAAGAATGAGAGGAAGAGAGAATGAGGATGAGGGGAACAACTGATTGCTGTTTTATCTGGTCACTGCGGGCTTATCGATAGCGGGGACCAGAAAAGGAAAGAGACACGCGCCTTCCAAACGACAACTGTGCCATTTCTAGATGCCCACGCACCTTTGTGATAAATACTATCCCAGTAGGGGTGAGATAGAGCTACAGGATAAATCGTTCAATACTATCCCTTCAACCCCAGAGCCTGCCGCCGACTCTTGCTTTTGAGATCGAGATAGGGTCGCTCGCCCAGACTGACGGCCCTCTGTCCCTCTCGTTCCTCTCCAAAGATATCGTAGTCATTTGTGGCAGTGTGGTAGACACTGCGGTTATCCCAGATTGCTGTGCGATGATTAGCCATCATCCATGAGACTCGGAACAAGACTCACCAAGATCATTCGGGTCCCGCCATCTGTGTCGCACCTGCAGATCATGGTTTTCCACAATCAACGAAACAAACCAGTCGAGCAGATGCTTGCTCTCTTCCTCGGCAAGTCCATTGATCTTCTCGACATGCGCTCCGACGGCAAAGACGCTCTTCCAGCCGGTGACGGGATTGGTGCGGATGACGGGGTGCTCGGCGCGGAGCTCGCTGCCTACATTCTCGGGGGCACCGCGGGGTCCGGCGTAGAGTTCGAATTCGTTATCCTTGGCGCTCTGATTGAATGCTGGCTGAGCGTATGTGGCGGTCAGCGACTCGAGGAAGCGCTGGTATGGCTCGGAGATTCGGTCGAAGACTTCGTATCCGCTGGCCCAGAGGGTATCTATCAGTGATCAGTACTGTCCCTAGGAGAAACCTATCAGATCCACCCTACCTCCCCCAGTCTTTGGTAGTTTGGTCAAACGTAACACGGCATAGTCGCTAGGAATGGGTTCGAAGGTGATGTCGCTGTGCCAGCCTCCCTTGAGACTCTGTTTGGTGGTGTAGCGCCCCTTGAACAGTTTCTTCCGCTGCTCGGAGCTGATGACACTGATCTCGTCGTCCTTGCCGCCGTGTTCTCGTCCGGCGTTCGTGACCGGGTGAATGTGCAAGCCAGACGTGGCTGGTTTGCCCGCCAACAGACCCAATCGGTGGATGAGCTCCTTCTGGGATTCGTTGTCCAGATCGTCCTGTTTGCGGAAGAAGACCACACCCCGTTGGGAGACTGTCATGCGCATTAGTATTAGGTAGCCTTCATACAACGAGACAGCTAACTTGTGATGGCCAAATCTCTCAGCAACTCATCGGAATTGGGAGCGTTGAGCCACTCCTTCAGGTTGACGGTGGGATATTCTCTGCCAATAACCGGTGTCACATCGAATGATTCAAACTGGCCAAGTACTCCGGACAGCTTGAGGGGCTCTCGCTGGAGACCGGATGATTCTTGGGTTGTTTTGGATGGGATCGCTGTCGGGACCACAGGGATGGATTCTTCCAATATTGGTGCCATAGCTTTCTCATGTTTTCTTTTGAAACTGGTTAATCAAGCTGCTTGATGATAATAGACATATTGTCCGGGAAATGGAGCGTATTTATACTGCTATCGATGCCGATACCCGAGAGCAGCACACGAGATTCGTCATGCTAATGGTGTGCTTGACTCGTAATCTGTGCCATCGCGAGCATATTCTGCGGGGTTGGCAACTCGCCATGAATCGTTAAATGACACCATCGTTTGGACTTGAATACCTTCATGTGTCTTCCCGGGTTATTGGATGGTCGAGTTGGTCTTATCTGATGGCCAATCCCGACGTCCTATTGCACCATCTTAGCGTGATGAACGAATGTGTTGTCAGACCTTGAAGCATTATTCCGTTGAATGTATTGATTTGAGATCTCAAAGTCTCTCGACTATGTAGACCTCGCTCAATAGTTGTCCCTATTAACTAGGGACATAATACGGACGTAGTCAGTGATGTTCTTTAACACAATCTCATCATTGCCTTGATAAGAACGCAATGCGATGCCGTGTAGAAATATTTTTCCTTTTTGTTTGTCGAGAGATATCTTGAAGATCTAGTCTATCACATTCATAGCACATTGCATCCCTACTCATTCGGCCCCGGAGTGTACGGATTCGAGTATTCCACCTTCTCATCATACTCGGTCTCGTTCAATCGTCTCAAGAATCCGCCACTGATCAAGCCCAGCACGTTGGTGTATGTCACAAACTGGGTCCCCATACCGGGCTGCTCAAACCAAGGCGCAATGGGACCCAGCCCAACCACAAACGCCTTGGTCACCTGGTAGACGTGGTAATTGTACGGGTAATTCCCATCAAAGGTGTTGAGGTTACTGGGAGGCAACGCGCGTTCGATGTACGGAGCGCCCAGGGGCGCCAGGAAGCTGCCATACTCGGAGCCGAAGCGGTCGAGCTTCATGCCCACAGGCAGGGTGGCGTTGCCGATGATTGGCTGCTTCTCTGTGTCGACGACGAAGCCGTTGGCGGGTGGATAGATATACGTGCCGTTTGGAGCAACGTTGGTGGCCCATTTGTCCAGGAACTCGGCCGGACAGAGGGCGCCGAACCGCGCATATGTGCGCAGCTCGTTGCGGAGGGGGAATTTCTGGGGAGGTACGACGGGACCCAGGCGTGAGTCACCACAGACGTACGAATCGTTCTTGAAGGTGATGCCGGCACAAGGGTTGGGCCAACACCTGGCAGGGAAGAGAGAATCCTAAAGAGGTCAGTGTGAAGAAGCAGAGATGGTGAGATGCTTACCTCTGCCTGATTCAGGGACAGGACAACAGCAGGGAGCAAGGTGCTCAGCACCAGAATGGCCTTGGTGAAGATCATGGTGGAATATGGAGTGCAATGCTGCGGGGTGTACGGATTCAGAGCGAACATGTTGCTATTTATCTTTTCTGCCCAGGCCCAGGCAGCTGAATGTTGTGTCCTGCATGCTGCAGTCCATATCACCCTGCATGGACGATCGTCCTCAGAGACTGGAGGGTCCTATCTTCTTCGGGCTGATCGGACCACGAACAGCCTTCCGGGATCTGATCAATGCCCAACTGGGACTAAGGAAAGATTATCCTATTGTTGAGGATCAAACTTCCCTGGCTCGGGCCGCAGTGTCACATGTGCATCTCTATGGATGACACTCAACTATTGATGAGTTGTCATTTGTCAACCTCAGCTAGACTATTGGACACTAAGTGAATTATTGACGCCAAGAAGGGGTGAAAGCTGATCAATATAGACCCACCCGTATGCCTGCATATTCTGGTTTGGGACAACTACAAGTGACTACCGAATGCTCAGCCGTAGCTGAGCCCTGGGGCATCGGTACCTTATTATCAGGCAGGTAACTTAGGGCATACATCTCTAGTAGTCACCTGTCGATACGTGACCACCAGCGGGGATCGGGAGATGTCTTCATCTTCCTCCTCATTAGCAGCATCTCCTTCTTCTTCTTCTTCATTATTAGCTAAGTATGTACATCAGAAAATGGCCTAAATATTTACAATGACCTGGCTTGACGGCTAAAGGGTTAGGTCCCCTTGGTATCCAGCACACCGGCACGCTGTCCTGACTCAATGATCATATCCAGAATCTGTTTCTCATCCCAATTGAATTCCTGCTTATGTTCCGAGGTCAAGCAGCAGATGTTGTTCGCCCGCAACTGCCAGGCGCCCGGGTCCCGGATCTCTCGAGGTTCGCTTAAGAAGCTCTCGAATCGACTCGGCTCTCGAGCCTTCCCTTTGTCGAATTTATTTGGGAGGAGCCAGCCGTTGAACCACAAAGGTCGACCACTGCGATCAAGATGAAGTAGTTGAGGAGCGCAGATGGTGTACATCTCTGGCGCAGTCGCCGTTGCCTGGTCCGTAGTGTTGGCCTTTGTCGTTTCTGCGTGTGCTGCGTGACTTTTTCCCGTTGGAGTTTTCTCCAGAGTGCCCATCACTCCAGCATCCCCATCATGGAACGCATAGTCCAGGTCCCCGATCAGCTCCCATCCCAGCCAGAAAGTCTCTTTGTCGCCTGTTTTGTTTGCCCCCGTTAGTTCGCAATAGTCCAAAGTCATCTGGACCTAAGATCGGACGCACCGTAAACCATATCATAAACGCCAACCTTGTGCCGCGACTTGTCGCCGTCCCGGTCAGGACCATTCATCCGCGTCACCAGAAGCAGCGCGATGAAATGTCGCCATTTGTCCACCACAACTACCCCTGATTCCTGCATGTGGCCACTCTGACCCGTCCAGAATCGACTCCCCATGGCTTTGTGCGACACGGGTTTGGGCAGGACCTCTTGCAGCCATCGTTTCTTAGACTCGGGCATCATGAGGCGGTCTTTGAAGAACAAGGCCCCCGTCTTCTGATAGGCCTCGTCTTCAAACAAGACCTCCGGATTCTGCATGAAAAGGGAATCGGCGTCAATGAAGATCGCTTCCCGAAAACTTGAAAATAAGATCGCAAACGGTTTCCCGGCCCATCCAGCCAATTTCCAGCCCTTGTCGTCCACCATCTGCCTCAGATCTCGAGTAGTAACACCGGGTAGCGCCTCCAACTGCTCACGCATATCCTGGCTCAGGTCCTGATCCCCCAGATACATGACTTCGATTGGCAAGTTGCATCCCAACTGGCGGATGGCCGGAATCGAAGTGAGCAGAAAGGGTGCTTGGTTGTCTCCGGCCGAAAACACCAGCCCCCGGCCGCCACCGTGGATCTGCGTGTGGAGATGAATATGGTCCGGGAAATGCGGCGCAGTCCACGGAAAGAGTAGCGTTGCCAGTCGGGTAATGAGCGAGCGATATGAATCATAGGCGCGGATCACGTCCGTCGTGTTTATCACCATGCTCTCTGCCAACTCTGGATGTCGTCGCAGGTACTGGATAATGTCGTCACGGATGTACAAGCCGTCTTCAGCTGGTACCAGGTGCACGGTTTCCCACGCCTCGAACAATGCCCAGAAATCGCGAGTTCGCAGTCCGAGATCGCGAAGTCGTTCCTCGCCGGTCGCTTCGAGAGGTCGTAGGAGGCTCTGAATGCGCATTTCGTCCGGGAGGAGCGCGATCATCCGATCGAGTGACATGCTCAAGTCAATCTGGGGCAGTGGTAAACTGTCAGTTTCTTGCATGGTCGGCTTTTGGTCAACTGGATCATCAGGGGCGACCACTGTATCGTTGAGAGGCAAGTCTGGCTCGGTAGGCTCGAGCACTGTCGGTCTGGGATTCACAGACGCGTCTGTCTCATCCAGCAAGGTATCAAGTCCATCTATCGGCGGCGAATCTTGACCATGAGTCCAACCGTCATTGGCCTTCTGCAGCGATGAAAGGCTCACTCGCCCGACGACCAAGTCATAACATATCCAGAGGCCGATCATTATGATCAGCAATTGCAATGCGACTGCCCGTCGCCTGCGCCTCAGCGGCGAGCGTGGTCGCCATCCTTTGGCATCTAGGCTGGCATATTTCTCGATATCATCGCTCGACATGATTTTTGGCTGCGGAGGTTCCCACAAGAATCTGGGACATCCCCGAAGGGCTATTTGAGGTCTTCTACCACTGAGGAATCAGCGTCAAATCGATTAACCCTTGAGAACCACTCGAGTCAGAGTGAGTGAGCGACGAGCTTATCAGTAAGCAAGGTAGGGGTCAGTGCCATTCTTCTTGAGTAACTTGGACAGCCTATTGGACGGGCTGTCTTTACAAGGCAACCCACGGAATGACCACCACGTAGCCTTTCAGAGGCAAGAGAGCCAATGGTACTGCACGTGGAGATGATCACCCGAAATATACTGTAGTACTATATAGTAGCTATTTCTCTGCTTATCCCAAATGAATCCGGCTCTTCGGCCCTGAAGAATTGCATCGTTCTCTGGGGTACGGAGTCTACTACCAACTAGGGAAAGGAGAGTGATACCCTAGCTAGGATCACGCAAGCCACACGGATTGATTCTTGGACCCTTGTGATAAACGAAAGGGATCCGAGTGCCACTAGTATCTTATTCGGTTAGGAGTTCAGTATTCAGTCCTGTCTTTGCTCCCAATGAAGACCCTTGGCAGGACAAGGGAGCTTGAAGAACAATAGAAACATTCCATCCGGTCTTGGTTTGGAAATGAAAGTCTGCAAATGCTAGGTATCTTGCCAAGATTATCTAGTCTCCTCTCCCTGTGCTTGTGACTTGTGAGCAACGGTGCATTCCTCAATATATGTTGCCAAGGTGCGAGGATCAACACCCAATCATATAAACAGCACAATGCGGGGTTGTCAACAATCAGAACCAGTCTCATCAGCCATGTCTCAGCCTCAATTCCAAGATTGTGTCTCCTTACTTTTCTATCTTGACCAGTGAAGGCTGGGCAACTCTGCGGAATGTGGACTGGCTTGACCTGGGGAAGTGACAATAAAGACAGCAAGATTCCCCAGTTCATTCATACTGAAAGGGAAAATATGACACCCGTGACTGAGTAGTAGAATGGTTGCAACCCACAATCTAGATCAAACGCACTAGCAATAGGTCGCATCCGAGGGAAGGCGATGACATCTCTTCGCACAGCGAGCAGGCCCGCATTACAGGGATGCCAAGCCACTGGATAAAGAAGAGGACCCGGTCCACAGCTTGGTAAGAGTATGCCGGGTCAGTGGTGTTCTGGAACCAGCTTTCTTGCCGATATCGCGGGCCGATGGTAACCTGCATGTCATACTTTCAATGGCATAGGTGGTGATATTCTTCCGGTAGGTTCTTCGCTGGCATGGTACAACGCTGAGCCGGTGACTTGAAGAATATGATTGAGCTGACATATTGCTCCTCGAGCAGAGGACCGCAAAGGTCCAGTCGTCTGTGCATTCGGGGCATAAAACTCCCACCATGCCTCGATGCAGGCCTGCTCCTGATCCAATCGTTCACCAAGGTTGGCTCCATTCGCTTTGGATTCACTCCCATCCGTCGTTCCTCGCGGCAAAGGTGGCGGCGGCGCTGGTCACGGTGATCGCTCAGGTCTTCTTTTTGCTGATCCCAAAGCCAGTGGTGGTGGTCATGCTTCCGAAAGTAGGGCTGGTTTGGATCCCTCTGTCTGATACAGTGATTGCTGCTGAGCATTGGTTCCAGTGACTGTTGTGGTAGTGGTAGCCATCACAGTGGTGTGCAGATGGATTGGAGTATTGGTGCACTCGACCGGGACGGTGTTGTCAATGTGACGACGGCATTCTCTTTCAGCTCGATGTCCGCATGAACACGATCACTCAATACTGTTGACTGGAAGATGCAGGGCTCAGTAGCCGAGTCTCCTTTGGCTTTCTCAACTTATTAGATGGGTACTGGAGCTTCGAGCACCGAGCAACAAACGCCTTAGGAGCCGATAACTAGCGACATGGCTTGAACAAAGTGTTTTCAGCTGCTATGAGTTCAAGACGACTATTTTGAAGGCAGATATATCAATTCTTAGTCTTAATAGTGTTGAAAGCATCATATTCTTGCTGAGATGGTGATTGACGACTCCCCTTTAATATAAATGACACCCATACTTGGCACCGCAATAAGTTAGGACTTGTTTGATCGCAATGGGTATACGAGTGAATTTGTACACAAGACTGGAGTAATGATAGTAGATCTAGCGACGACTCGAATCAGTCAGTAAGCAGTTGTTCTCAGACCAGGCTAATATATCATGTCAGCGCATTGAGCTGGGCGGCATGTCAGCTTGTGAAGAGTCGACTCTTCAACCGTTAGTGGTGACATTAATTTAACCGACACATGAAGAGGCTTCTGAGACACAAATCCCTCTTCCAATCAGATAAACCCACATCGCGTGGGGGTTACCAACTCACCATGAGGATATTCTTGATGCACTCAATCGGGATTTCGGCTCGAGGGCCGTGAATGTCAACTTGTTTAGCATACTTCTATGCTCACCTTAGCTGGGCTATGTCCGTGACCATGAAAAGAAAAAAAGCATCAGTGACAATCAACTGAAGATGACGCCCAAATTCGACGTCGACTATGTCCTGGCCAATATCACCGAGGACGACAAGATCGCTCTTCTCTCTGGTAGTTGACCCTAGTTACTCCCTACGCCATCTACTAAAGACCGAATAGGAAGTGACTTCTGGCACACTCATTCCGTCCCCAATTTCAATGTGCCTTCGGTTCGTACCACTGACGGCCCCAATGGAATCCGTGGCACGAAGTTCTTTGCCGGTGTGCCCGCTGCGTGTCTCCCCTGTGGCACGGCTCTAGGCGCCACCTGGGATCGCGACCTGCTGCATCAAGCCGGTGTTCTGCTCGGCAAAGAATGTCTCGCCAAGGGAGCGCATTGTTGGCTGGGTCCTACGATCAACATGCAGCGGTCGCCCCTGGGAGGACGCGGGTTTGAATCGTTTGCTGAAGATCCCCATCTCTCGGGAATCATGGCCAAGTCGATCATCCTGGGCTGCGAGAGCACGGGGGTCATCTCAACGGTAAAGCACTATGTCGGAAATGACCAGGAACATGAGCGACGCGCTGTTGATGTGCTGGTTACTCCGCGAGCACTTCGCGAGATCTATCTGCGTCCTTTCCAGATTGTTGCTCGGGACGCCCGTCCAGGAGCCTTGATGACTTCGTACAACAAAATCAACGGTAAGCACGTCGTCGAGAGTCCGGCCATGTTGGATATTGTCCGCAAAGACTGGAACTGGGATCCTTTGATCATGAGCGATTGGCTAGGCACATACACCACCATCGACTCGATGAATGCTGGTCTAGATCTCGAGATGCCGGGTCCGACACGATATCGCGGAAAGTACATCGAATCAGCCATGCAGGCGCGGTTGATTAAACAGTCGACCATCAACGCGCGTGCTCGCAGGGTGCTTGAGTTTGTCGAACGAGCCAGCCGCGCTCCCGTGTCGGCGGAAGAAACTGGCCGTGATTTTCCTGAAGACCGGGCGTTGAACCGGACCCTGTGTACGAACAGTATCGTTCTGTTGAAAAATGAGGACAATCTGCTGCCGTTGCCCAAGACGGTCAAGAAGATCGCGCTGATCGGGTCTCATGTGAAGACTCCTGCTATTTCAGGCGGCGGTAGTGCTTCTCTTGAACCATACTATGCTGTCTCTCTATACGATGCGGTCGTTGAAGCCCTTCCTGATGCTGAGATCCTCTATGAACCGGGCGCATATGCTCACAAGATGCTTCCGGTCATTGATCGAATGCTCAGCAATGCCCTCATCCACTTCTATAATGAGCCGCCCGAAAAGGAACGCACGTTACTGGCAACCGAACCAGTCGGTAGCACTGCGTTTCAGTTGATGGACTACAACGCTCCCAGTCTCGACAGAGGTCTGTTCTGGGCTACTTTGGTTGGAGAGTTTACGCCGGATGTCTCTGGAGTGTGGGACTTTGGTCTCACTGTGTTCGGTACGGCCACGCTTTTTATTGATGACGAGATGGTCATTGACAACACCACCCGCCAATCCCGAGGAACGGCCTTTTTCGGAAAGGGAACGGTGCAGGAGGTCGGGTCGAAGCAGCTCACTGCCGGACAGACATATAGGATTCGAATTGAGTTCGGCTCTGCCAACACCAGTCCTATGAAAGCCATCGGCGTGGTCCACTTTGGTGGTGGCGCAGCCCATCTCGGCGCGTGTTTACACATGGACCCTGAGCAGATGGTTGTCAATGCGGTCAAAGTCGCCGCCGAGGCAGATTATACCATCGTGTGCACAGGACTCAACCGAGACTGGGAGTCGGAAGGATTTGACCGTCCGGATATGGACCTTCCTCCGGGAATTGATGCTTTGATTTCGTCTGTGCTTGACGTTGCGGCGGACAGGACTGTCATCGTTAACCAATCCGGAACCCCTGTTACCATGCCTTGGGCGGATCTAGCCAGGGGGATTGTTCAGGCATGGTATGGGGGAAATGAGACCGGCCATGGTATTGCCGACGTCCTATTTGGAGATGTCAACCCCTGTGGGAAGTTGCCTCTTTCCTGGCCGGTGGACGTGAGGCACAACCCAGCGTATCTGAACTACGTGAGCGTGGGGGGTAGAGTGCTCTACGGGGAGGACGTGTATGTGGGATATCGATTCTACGAGAAGGTCGGACGCGAGGTCTTGTTTCCGTTTGGGTAGGTTTGACCATCTTATTCGCTAAACACGCATCATGCTCACGAGTGCAGATATGGTTTATCATACACGACCTTCAGTGTCTCTCCTACGGTGTCTGTATCCCCGGCTATCTTCTCATCGGACAGTCCACCCACTGCCAGAGTTCTAGTCAAGAATACAGGTCCAGTGGCAGGAGCGCAGATCCTACAGCTTTACATTGCCGCACCCCATTCAGCAACTCTACGCCCTGTCAAGGAGCTGCACGGATTCTCCAAGGTGTTCCTACAGCCCGGAGAGGAGAAAACAGTTGAGATCCACATTGACAAATACGCGACCAGCTTTTGGGACGAGATCGAGGATATGTGGAAGAGCGAAGAGGGCGTCTATCAGGTACTGATTGGGACCTCGAGTCAGGAGATTGTGGCTCAAGGAAAGTTTATGGTGAAGCAGACGAGATACTGGACAGGTGTATAGATAGCACCATAGCAATCGTCTTCCAATCTTTTCAGTCTGAGCTTGAATATCTGGGGAGCGATACAAGCGATGCTTGGCACCGGGTAAAGAGATTGCATTTATCCAAAGTCTAGACTTGGACAGTGTGGGGTGTCAATCAGTTACTGAATAGAGCCACTCCTACCAGCCCATTTAACTGTCTCAAACTCTACCTTGCTCAATCCGGGGTAAACCTGGCGCATGTGATGATCCTTCGGACTCTGCATGCCAAGTGTAATAGCAAATTCTCAATCCATCGCTGGACCCTCTCTGCGAACCCCCGCATGAGCTCTTGGGCCGCTCTTGGCAGTTATGCTGACAGCCTCAAGTATGCTTACTTCACGATTCCATTGGTGGGGGCATATACCCAGAGTTCCCGTGTCGAAGGTGGGGGTTGCAGGATGCCCTTTTCATCAAGGAGCATCTTGAGCCAAGGCTCACGCTCAGTGTATCAACAGGGCCGTTGCATCGGTTGCGAAGCCGTCTTTCCTGAAGAAGACATCCGCCATGACGGAATCTACATATAGCCAGAGAATGCTGCCTCTTGTCTGACAGGATCAAGTCATCATCACATCAACTATACACATCGATCATCATGGTTGCAGTGGGAAAGCAGCGTGAGGAAGATGTCGCGGAGCCCGTCCTGGCCAATCTGCTGGCCGACGATCATACTCCTTGGTACAAGAAGCCTAATCTGAGGTACTTGTATTTTATTCTATTCCCTGCATGCATGGGGATTGAGATTACCTCGGGCTTCGACTCGCAGATCATCAATACTGTGCAGATCGTCTACACGTGGAACAAATGTATTCTCCTTATGACAATAGTATTCCTATCAACACTGCTGACATTGGTAGATTTCGGTCATCCAACAGGAGCTGTTGTCGACGGTAATCCCAAGTATGAGATCGAAGCAAACCTCAAAGGTTTCCTGGGAGCTGCATACTCTCTCGGAGCCATTCTCTCTCTCCCGTTTGTCCCCTGGGTCAACCAACGAGTCGGACGAAGATGGACAATTCTGTTCGGTTCCTGCGTCAGTCTAGTAGGCGCTCTTCTGCAAGGCTTTGCCAACGGAGGTATGCTATCAACTTCTAATCACATCCACTTGCTGATCGTGTAGTTGGCATGTATATCGTCGCGCGGATTATCCTTGGATTCGGAATCCCATTTTGTATCGTTGCTGGATCTTCCCTCCTTGGTGAATTGGGATATCCCAAGGAACGACCCATTCTAACCTCACTATTCAATTCCTCGTACTTCATCGGCCAGATTATCGCTGCTGCTGTCGGCCTGGGGACGGTGACCATCACGTCCAACTGGGCCTGGAGAATTCCATCCCTCCTCCAGATTGCTCCAGCAATGGTGCAGATCGTCTTTGTCTTGTGGGTTGTGTCTTGATGTCTCTCGACAGAACTGACAGTGGCGCAGTCTCCTTCCGGAAAGCCCCCGGTATCTGATCAGTAAAGACCGCCACGAGGAGGCCTTTAACATCCTGACCAAATACCATGCCGAAGGAGATCGCAGCTCGATCATCGTGCGAGCCGAAATCGCCCAGATCGAACGCACCATCAAGCTCGAACTCGAAGAGGCCAAGCAGACCTGGTGGGATATGTTCCGGACGGCCGGTATGCGTCGTCGGTTGCTCATTTCGGCCTTTTTGGGATTGTTCACCCAGTGGTCGGGCAATACTTTAATCTCGTATGGATCACTCTGGCATCTTGGTGGGATCTACTGATGCCTCTTAGATACTATCTGAGTGACCTCCTAGAAATGGTCGACATCACCGACGGCGTGGTCAAGTCGAAGATCAATATCGGCATTGCTTGCTGGGGTCTCGTCTGCGGTACGACGCTGGCGCTGACTGTTCCTCGATTCAAGCGACGCACCATGTACCTCACCTGTGCCTGTTCGTTGCTCTGCGTGTATATTGCCTGGACCATCTCCATGGAACGCTTCATGACGACCCATGCCAAGGCCGCTGCCATTCTGACCATTTTCTTCATTTTCTGCTACTCGCCGGCTTACAACCTTGGCTACAACGCGCTGACATACAGTAAGTTCCTTGCCTTTTATAATCGCAGATACTGACTGGTCAGCTTACTTGGTCGAAATCTTCCCCTACTTTGGTCGCTCCAGAGGTATCTCGTGGTTCCAGTTCTATGGCCGAGGCGCGGGCTTCTTCGCAACCTATGTGAATCCAGTCGGCCTGAAGAATATTAGCTGGAAGTGGCTGCTGGTATACTGCTGCTGGTTGGCTTTCGAGGTGGTGTTCATTTATTTATTCTTCCCGGAGACGTCGGGCAGGACTCTCGAGGAATTATCCTTCAGTAAGTTTTCAGCTCTGAGAGGCAAAACAGGACTAACGGATACAGTGTTCGAGGGCAAGGAGAAAGCGAATGAAGTGGCTGCAGCTGTCCACAAGCAGATTAATCAGGAGCATGACGAGAAGAGGCAGAATGTTCATGTTGAGGAGGCTTAGGGGGCATGATTTGCCATGTTCACTATTATGCAGAATATATTGTTCTCTTGACATGCACTTATATAAGACTGAAACTATCGGACAATCATCCAATGACTACCGTTCCAACTGGTGCCGATAGCAAGGCAAGCAGGATCTTGATCACATTGATACCAAGGACGCTCAAGGCTCGCGGATCCATCAGTCTTGTCAGAACGGTTTTCGTCCTGCATCCGGCATGAACAGGAACTCCATTCATCCGGTCCTGCAGCCACAACAGCGCATCTGGGGCACCGATGACCGCCATCGTCGCATGATTGGACCACTCATCCCGGTGATATTCCACTTTCGCCCCGGCACCACAGTAGGAAGAGACCAGGGCATCCGTATCACCGACCGGACTCACCTCATCGTTGGCGGATTTATAGATGAACAACGGGGCGTCTGGCACATGATGTCCCATTGCATTGGCGCCGAGGACTCGTGCCACATCAGGATCGTTGAGCATATTCGCGTCTGTGAAGTACGAGTAGATGTCCTGAAACTGGTACTTGAACTGGTCCCCGATGAAGCACAGCTCCTTCGTCCGGACGAAGTCCGCCTTCTTTGCGGGGACGAGATGGTCATAGAGAACCCGTTCGATGACCGGGTATTCATTAGCGAGGCCTTGCATCCCCGCGGGAATGAGCCCAGCCCAGATGCCCTTGTTGATGGAGTTGAACACCGGCATGATGTGCGGAACTGTCCCTCCTAGCGCCGCTCCAGCGATGCTGAGCTCCGGTGCGTACGACGGCTGCCGTTCCGCAGCGAATCCACTCGCCAGGCTTCCCCCGGAATATCCCCAGAGCGTGACTGTGGCCTGGGGAGAGACCTTTGTGAATGCAGATGACCTCAAGGCGGCGCGGATATTGTCAAGCACCGCGTGTCCTGACAGGTTGTTCGCTAGAAAGGTGGCATTTGGCCCCAAGTGGTCCGGCACTGTTACCACCCACCCCTTGTCCAGCGCCGCGATGATCAGTGCCAGCTCTGCTTGAGGCATGAGCAGACCCAGCTCACCGTCGGTGGCCGCCTCGAGCTGAAAGGCGTACGACGGGGCGCAGTTGCGGTTGGCCGCGTCCTCGGCTACTTGGAAAGAAAGCAGCTTGGTATAGTCTGCATGGTGCGGGACGAGGATGGTCGAGGCAGCCGCAATGGCCTCACCAAAAGAGTCGGTTGAGCGGTACAGAAGCTGGTAAGACGCAGCAAGATTGATTGGGGCAAACCCGAAAGCCGAGATAGGATGGGGAGGGTTTCGCCATCGCAGAATGGTCCCAGGAGGGGTGGATTCAAATCCGTCTGGAGCACTGTAGAATGGGTCCTCGACGGGATGAAGAAGCGCATCTCGGGCAGTCGGAAGGGGGAAGACTCCCAAGGAGAATGATACTATCCAAATCGGTGTTGCCCAATGCATCTTGGTTACTGGCTTGAACTCCAGGACAGTGACTGCTCTTTTCTTCAGAGCGCTTTTACTGCGTGTTTATACCAATCCATACCCTTGTCCAATTGATAGAGTGACTGTCCATCACATGCAATTCTCGAGTCGATGCAACCTCAATCCTTCAAATCCTTCCTCGTATGCATCCGACTTCTAGTCTCGTACTAGTATGAGGGGATTCTCTTCGCTTTCTCCACCTTTCGGATTGGTATGTTCGCAACCCGGACAACGAAGCATTCTTACATATCCTCTAGACCAAGGCACCTAGAAATAGAAGATCGTGTCACATGTTGGTCACTGGCAGATAAAACCGAGGGTTATAATCCATCGATCGATACTTGAGTTGGATTAGTCTCAAGCGTCAAGGATCATGGATCCGATGCCCTTTGAGACAACAGTAGAACAAGTCTCCTGCAAATAGTCCCGTCGCAGTTAAGACTGAGTCGAGACCCAAATGAATATGACTCGAAGCGCCGGCTCAGGTATTCAAATGACTAGCAGCAAGGGGAATGCGCATTGCTAGATACGTTGAAATCTCGATGCACCAGATGATGGACATTGAGAATGCAATATCACTATAGCTATTTTGCAGGCACCAGGCTAGGATATTGCATTTCCTACTTTTGCTAGGTTCTGACTTGTCTAAGGAATCTCAAGTGGGATACTTTGATCATGCTATGCATACGTCGAACGTGATTTCTATTGATCATTCAGAGTGATCAGCAAGGCTTGAAGATAGCTGTTCTTTCAAGTGGCACATGCTTGTAATCATACAAAGATCCACCGGTGCGAATCGTTTAACATACGTTGTCCATTAGTTTTTTGGGATAGATGAGAGGATGGCCCATGTCCAACCCCGAGGCTACTGGCCATACCTGCAGAGCATCCTCTATTTATTTGCTTATTCTTTTTCATTTTTTTAGGTCATCACAACAACCTGTCAAAGACTGACTAACTGTAGGTCACGTCTTCTGTGACCTATATTAAACTACTTCTCTCCAATCCTTGTCGGCGTCGTAATCCATTCAACGGCCGCTGTAATCGGATGCAGTTAAGGCTTTACTGCGTTCTATTAGTATGAAAGGGTATAAGAGCCTGCTGTAGCACACACCCAAACAATAGATAAGCACAAACCTTCAAAGTGAGGACCTGTTGTACTCCTTCTAGTTTTCTAGGCTTTATCTCTGGTTAGTTGTTCTTTGGCGAAGTGAACACTTGATATCTGCGTGGATGCACCCAGATATCATTACACCACAAGTCTGCGCAGCACACCAACACCAGATGGCAATTCATTCATCTATTTCTATATATGGATTTTAAACAGGAATTATGCTTGAGCAGACTGTGTGTTCTTCTCCATTATTTGATCTCTCTGGGCGCTTACAAGCGATGACTGATGATGAGCCAGCGGCAAGAAATACCAGCGACGTTCCACCCCGACAGCCTGGATAACTTACAGGATGAAGGTGGACAGAATGGACAACCGCTGGACATGAGGACGATAAATGGACAAATTTACCAAAGTCTGATAGAGAATCCATCGAACCTGCGCTGTCCGACGACGATATCTGGATGCTGATCAGTCGGTTCAACAAGGTATGTTTGTTCCCTTGCATATCATGAACCCGGCTGAATCACAGGCAATTCCTAGGAAATATACCATGTCAGAGCGACTAGACACGCCCTGCCGCACGAGCTGGACCTCACAAGAGCTGAAGGACTCTCCTTTACTCCAGAAAAGCTGCGAACCACGATGGAATGGTTCTACATGTCCATCGTCATTGGCGCCGCAAACTACTGGTACCATTTAGCTCGCCTGCGGTCCTGGAAACAGCCTCGTCGGACAGCAGCCTTTTGTTTTGTGTGTGTCTGCTATATGATATGTTCCACAGAATGTTAGCTGATCGGTACTGCATCGTTAGATATACTTTCACTGGATCTCATTGTGTGTACAATGACCACAATTTTCGTCATTGTGATTGTTTATCCTCCAGCTCAAAGGCTGTTCCTCTTTCCTGAAACTGGATCGTATATTGGCGCTGATGGACAACATGGGGGTGAAGAGCGTGACAGTCTTACAGGATCTCCAGAGATACACAAGGGCGAAGCGGCAGAAGAAGAAGCCATAGACTTCGTTAGCGATATTTGACGAGTCTGAAGACGACGACAGAGAGACATCCTTTGAGCGCCAGCGGCAGAAGATTGCCGTTTCTGAAGACAAGACCTCGCAGCTCATGATGCAGAAAGTCAATGGCTACAACAGAAGTTATTCGGATAATCAGTGATATCACTGAGATGTACAAGCGATTCTGCAAGTACGTGATCCTCTCCGCTGTGCTGCCTCGTAGCTAAGATACAGTCTACTCTCTCCGACTCCTCCCTTCAATCTCACTGGTCCCCGAATTCGGTTGGTGACGATGATCTCGGGGGCTCTGGCTTCCAGCTTATGTCAAGTTACTGGCTCATCAAGAGCCGCCGATTGTGTATCTTTCGACCCATCAACACACGAGAGTACATGACCTAAGGATTCAATATCGATCAAAGAGTTCGATTCTTTTCCAGGTTGCGGTCCCGCACATCAAGGAGCTGAAGAAGACCGCGCGTCTGGGATGGAAGCAGAAGTTGATCTTGGAGCTGACGGGGGGTGTCGAGTATTCCGTCGATGGGCTGATCATCGCGGGACAACATCCCGGACAATCATATCACCTCACCCACATAGAGGAGAGAGACTAGCTATTCAATCGCTTGGTGGCATTGGGTGCCCAGTTCTGGGAGACCTGCTGAGCGCCACAGAATGCATGCTGCGAGGTGAATTTTGTTCATGTTGGCTTAATTAATCATATGTCTGCATGGTATGTATACTGGAAGTTCCAGGTCTAGGATGAAACTCACATTCCTTGTCTTTTCCCATACCTAGTTTTTCCACGTTGTTATCGAAGCCATTGAATATCATTCGTGTCTAATAAGCAAGTACCTCTGCAAAATACATAACAACTATGGAAACAATGCGGTGCTCTCATTACAGGTGCTATGCTGGGACAATTGTACGATAGATTGGGGGTGAATTACAGAAAACCCATTGAGGTATCTGCCCATATCCATTAAGACCAGACCCTAATTCCTATTACCCTGGCCATAATCCATACCTAACCCGATCAAAACCATAAGTCATCAGACGCCGTGCCCCTTGCCGTTGCCGTAACATCATACGCAATTACTCTGGTCCTTCACAAAGGGGCTTTTGTCCTGCCCTCATCCGCATCAAGCGCCCCCTCTAGTTCGCTTGTCAATGTATACACAGATAGATCGGACATGCTTTCGTGCGTCGGCGGCGGGAAGATTCGTTTTCTCATCGGGTCCGCGGGCGAATTGGCCAGCGAAGGAGCCGGTGCCAGCTGGATAGACGACATACAGTCGCGAAAATGACCGGGAAAAAGTCCTCTGTCCAGGTCGCTCTGCCACAGCCTGCGGGTGGCATCAAACGCTTTATCGACCAGCTCTCGCCGGGCATTCTCATATTCTCGAAACAGATCACGGAGCGCACAATCACGCCCACAGGCGAAGATCTGCGCGAAGATGACCGCATCTTCGATGGCGTACGCGGCGGATTCCTCGCGCGGTGGCATCTGCAGTCGTCGTTTAGCCGTGCTATCCGGACTATGAAAAGGCCTCACTTGTACTTACTGCGTGTGCGGCATCCCCGAGCAGCAGAACGCGGTCGATATGCCATTTCCCCCGTTGATGCACCTGATAGATGGGATACAACTCCCAATCATGCGTCTGCTCAATCCACTCCCGAATCCACGGAAAAGCCGAGGCGCCGAATTTACTACGCACCTGATAACGAAGGGCCATCTGCGCGGACTTGAGTGCCGCTGTATCGGCACAGGCTATCGCGCGGTATCGCTCGATAATGTGTTCATTCACCCGCATGATCGCGGCGACAAACATGGTCCGATGACTCGGGTGGCAGTAGCTTGCCAACAGCGATCCTTGCCGAGTCAAATGAATGGCTGTTTGGTCGAAATGAGATGGTAATGCTACCCGGTCGCTCGGAGCCAGGCTCTGAATGAAGGAAATGCCGGAATATTCAGACTGGTTGCCGGGATCGACCAGCTGCGTGCGGACCACAGAGTGGACGCCATCACATCCTAGTACTAGATCACCCGTGGCTGTCGTCCCATCTTCGAATTGAAGTGTCACTGCGTGTTCAGTGGTACTGGCGCTGGATAATTTCTTGTTAAATGCGACCGAGATTTGCGCGTACTGGCGCGCCACGGCCAGCATGGCGCGAAAGAGGGCGCTGCGCAGCACTCGGCGGCTTGTATAGGCCCCATAACCACGTCCGGCCTCGTCAGCAAACCGCAAGGGACCCAATGATCGCCCTGAGCGTAGGGAATAGATTTTGATTTCGTCCACTTCAATCCCAGCGTCTTCTCCCATCCGAGTGAGTTCGTGCAGCACGCCTAGCTGATCCAAGTAGTGCTGAGCAATCGGAGTGAGACTGATCGCCCCTCCATCCCCCATCGAATGTTCCGTCCGACTGTCATAGACGGCGATGTCTAGATCCGGTTCGACTTCTGAGAGCTCTTTAGCCAGAGCGATGCTGGCCGTGAGACCGGCGATTCCACCGCCAACGATCAGGATGCGGCGCGGCATGGTGCGATGGACTCAGAGACGGAAGGCTGAAATTGGAGCCAGTGCGTGTAGATATAGATATAACCTGGTTCCGTCAGGTGCAAAGTCAAACACAAACACAAACCAAGTGTCCGGCCGAGACTCAGAAATCTCGGCGATCAGCGATAGTGGCCCCGGCAGTTGTACCGTACCGTCCGTACATTTGTGCAGAGTCCCCCGTCCTGATCTGATAGGCTGGTCCGTGGGACCTCGGCTGGTCTATTGCAACAAGTGGGACTCGGCTAAATCAAGGATTCAATATGATTGGCTAAAAAGCAGTTTAGCCTCTCGCCTAATGTTTCTCATCCCATCGATGACGGCGAAATCAAGGTCTCATCCATGGATCGTCTGCATTCCGCATGCATGTCGGATCCGAGATAAGGGGTTAAATGCATTGACAAATGATCATTCTGTCGCCACATTTGAAATTAACCTGTCCTGCTGAGTTGAGACGCTGCTCCTGAATTGGACACTTGCATGCATCTATCAAAAGTAGGAGTAGAACTGTTTACCCTTTACACCGTGTTTCAGCTTCATTTCCAGCACCTAATAAACACGCATTGTCCTGTAGATGTACTCTAAGAATTACAGAGTCCAGACAAACCAGAACACCCGATCTATGGCCGCAAACCCCGGATCACCGAGATACGCGCGGTAGTTTGTGATTGGCTCCCATTGGTTCTACATTTAAGCTTACAAACAGTGGGGAATCAGAGAATCCGCTGTCCAGATACCCAAGCCACAGGGGGCGCGCGGATCTTGTGTAAAGTTATGCGCACTGACAGCTTTTTATTACTCTGAAATTTCTGCCCTGGAGCAGTTGGATTCCAGAGATAACAGCTATTAGAAGTTCTTGCATGTTAGGAAATACATGCCTGCAATTACACTGTTCCTATGACTATCTGTGATGTCTAAGAGATATATAGGTATCTGTTTGCCTTGCTACATTAGTAAAATCATATGAACTATTTATTATAATGTCTCTCAGGTGGAGTGTTGATATCAGTACATAAATTCCGCGGCTATGACTTTCACTATACTTTTCATGGAGATGAAGGATGATGGCTGGTGTCTTCCTTGGGTAATCACCGCAGTTGTTACCAAAATATTCTCCCTTCTCCTTCCACTATAAAGCCATTTATGTACTAGGACCCTTTCATCTATATATAGTTTGTGCTCTAGTCAATGATACCTGCTTCTGGGATGCTTCTACCTTGCTGCAGTGTCCTGTACAATTCAGCCCATGTGAGATATTCTTCGCCTGAGTCATTGTTCTCCAACTACTCAAGTGCATGTGATCATAGCTATACTCGCCAGTCAGTGGATCATTACTAGATTCATATCAGCCATAAGTGTAAGGTACGAGGCTATGGAGCTGCTCAGCCGAGTTTCTAAGATGATTATACACTTGATATGTGTGTGGTGTTTGAGTATATATGTATATATGTATATACAGAGTATAAGTATGTGTGGAGAAGACGGATAGTAAAGAACTATCCTTTGCATCCTCTGTACAGAAGACACTGTACTATTTTCTTGACCCTCTGTGCAGTCACAAATTCCATAGACCGCTTGTCCAATCTGACGTAGGAATTGATTTGATCAAATGTGGTCCGTTCGGAGTTGTGCTAGGGCTGGTGCTTGTGTCCTGCCAAGCTGAGCGTACTGGGTCCTAATATGTCTTCTGGGAGGCACACATTGATCTCTCTTGTGTATTTGCCAAAAGAATTTTGTAGAAAGAGCTCCTTTCATGCCTATTTGAGAATATTCTGCATCTCTCCAAGGAGTGGATCTTGCGCGCGGTTGCCCAAGCTGGTGGACTGTGGTTTCACACTAATCTGTATGCTCCGGATTGTGCGGAAAACAAAATATGGAGTGTTCTGCCATCAGCGCATAGCCACAGTCCTTCCTTTCTTTGGAATACACCCGAATCAACTTGACTGAGCCCTCTGAGCGAGGCCCCTAAAACTAGGCTTTGGATTAATCTATAGAGATTAGTATGGGAAGACAGGACCTACAACTCGAATCCAGTAGTCGATGCAATCCGGCAAAGCCCAGAACAAAAAGCAAAGCAAACTAGCCTACCACTGCTACCCTCTTTGATATTCAAATGACTTTTAGTGATAGTTTATTTAATAAATAAAAAAAATAAAGAAAAACACACAACAGCTTAAGTATGGTGGTGATCACCAGGCGCTGTGTGGGCGGCTTGCTGCCCTATTCAGTCTTTCTTCAGGGCACTTCAGGCCCCTGTTCACCTACCTAAATATCATATACCCGAGCTAGAAAGAAGTCACATTTATATAAAAATTACCATGCTTATCGTCAGCGGCTAATGGAGTCATTTGCTAGTTAACGCCATAAGCGCTGCACATTTATTCCATACTCGCATTAGTAGATTTGGGATTGAGAGGTGCCTCACGCAACCTAGATAACGCTGTGAGAAAAAGGGATACTGACCAGTATTGGGATAAAACAAAGATGATCAACTCTCGACAATACAGATAGAAAAATTCACGGCCGCCCAATATTCCGCCAGGTCGTCTTGCCGAGTATTTCCCCTGTCAGAAACAGTTCCTTTGGCCCTTCCCCCCAATTTCGGCAGCTCGAGCACGTCAAACGACGTCGGCTGGGAGGTAACAAAGACCTTTACTATATCTTTGCAGGAGTGGTGTCCATTCTCCATCATTTGATCTGGGATTCTCACGCGCAGCTTCTTTTTCGCGGTATGCTTGAACAGTCCACCCCTGCTCCGCGGTGAGACCACAATGTATGTTCCTCGATGCACATTCTCCACCTGCCAGCAGGGACCAAGATTGTATATAAAGAAATACAGATCCGTATTTCCTTCGTTTTCCAAGACCAACTCGGCCACACTGTCATGTTCTATCTCTATCTGGCCGCCTGGCTCAAAGGCACGCCCGTTGTGGCTGATGTAGGTCTTGAAGCACCCTCGTAGGGTGCTTGCAGAAGCGTCGTGCGGGAATAGATATTGCACTAGCTGGAACTGAGTCAGGTGCTTGAGGATGTCTACTACCTGGCTGACGCTTGTGCTGTCCTGCGGCATTCGCGGCAGATTGATGATATCTCGACCTGAACTGTCTAGGATCCTGTATTCCCTATCATCTTTGAGGGCCAGAGTAAACAGAGCCACCGAATTTCCTGCCCTGGTATTAACATTGAGCTGCTGCTTGTCCAAATGCTTGGTCAAATCTTTCCAATCATGGACGCCCGAGTCAAGTCGTATTGGGTACTTCTGGAGTGCCAATCGAGTTCGCAGGCTTGCCATCCACCCTGCCCTCACGCGACTCGAAGAGGATCTGTCCACAACCTCAAGATCGGATGTGAGCGCTCTAGTCCGGGAAACAACAGCAAGGACAGGCTCTCGTCGCGACGGGGGGTCACTGGCCGCGGCAGATGGGGAAAACAAGACAAACTCGTCGCCATCAGTGACACCATGAGCTTGGCCCGCGTGTACTCTGAAAGATCCATTCTTTCCATTCCCGGTGATGGGAACCGCCACTGCCGCAAGATCACATCGAGCCTCTCCGAAGAAGCCCTGGTGACGGTTCCCGTAGAGCACAGGATTCTGAGCGAACCCGTGGTGGTGGAACTTGGCACGCAGGTGTTCATAGATATCCCCGTGCTTTGCCGACAGGCCAACCCGGCGGATTACACTAAGCAGGAGATAGGACAGGGCACCGCGATTCTCGCCTTCAAATCGCGGTTCCCTTGCCTCTTCGTGCGGCCCGCATGCAGCGAGGACCGCGTAGTGGTCGGGGTTGATGAGCCAGTTCGGTAGCATGGAGACATCCCGGTCCTCTGTCGAAGATCTATTGTACTCCCTCGTTTCACCCGCCTGGTCCAGGACAAGAGGAGGACGGGATTCCGTATCAGACTGGTAGTGCAGAAACCGCACGGTGGGATCATCGCGGCGATAGACGCTCGCGGCAAAACAGCAGTCGAGGACGAGCGTCGCAACCACGCCCTTGCTAACCAAGCGCTGGAGGAATGTCGCCAGCTCAAACCCCCAGAGGTGCCTCCCGTTGGCCTCTTCTCCTCCGGTATGAAGCGACAGCGCCAGATCGCCCGTAGATGTATTGGAAAATTCCCCAGATGGCGGCTTCCTCGTCCCATGGCCCGAATAATGGATGTAAATAAAATCTCCGGCCCTGGCGAGTGAAATGCACTTTCCCATCGAAGCAACCACATTTGCATGGGTCGGGCAGAGCGTCGAGTCTTTACCGGCAGGAGGATTGGGGGTGTTGTTGGTTGGGCTGGCCGTGAGCATTTGTATATCTACGAGGCCCCCCAGCTGGCTTTCTAGACATGCCTTGATTGCTTGAACATCCCGTACGCAACCTTTTAGCGGCTTCTCCGCGTAATCGTCGATTCCGATCAGAATCGCGTAGTATTTAACGCGCATCTCTTGGTCATGTGTTGGGTTCGGAGGCTTGGGCTGCGAGGTATCTGCTAGCATTTGCAAAGCGGGAGAAGGAAATTCTTTGTTCAACTTGGGATGATGTAATGGAGGAAGGAATGTAGAGCGCAAGAGTTATGACAAAGAAGCCAACGAGCAGTCAAGCTTGATGTCTCAAGGCTAAATAGAATCGACTCCAGCAGTTCGCCTGCAGGGGTGATCCCAGCATGGTCACCCACACTCATTCCCAAGTGATGCGTGGCAGTGCTCATGCAGCCTCCAAATAGTCCAGGTCTATCTCAGCCCCATTCTTCACAGCCCTCCCATCCTGAAAACTAAGTGTATATTTCTTCAGAGAAACAGACGCGATTACATAGGGCCCCTCCCGCGATCCGCTGTCCAGTAGGTAGACCTTGTCTCCTACACGGAATCTCGGTTTCTGTACCCAGGGTAAGCCAGTTTGAAAGTGGATGCCATTCTGAAGATAAACTACTGCCTACCTCGGTATAGCTCTTCACGCAAGGCCGCTTGTCGTCCTCGTCGAACGAGATTCTTGGACTAGGGCTAGGAATTATCAGACTTGAGCCATGGCAATCAAGGCTGGAGGGTACCCACGGTTCTGAGGTGGTCATGCTGTACAGAGAGCGTGAAGGAAGGCCGATGCGAGAAATGTAAATCTCTATGACGTTTGCCAGCTTAAGCCGTAGAACCGAACTCGAGGGTGCGAGTTGCAACATAAGTGAATCATTATTACTCCACCCCGACGAGGCTGGATGGCCCCTGCAAGCATCCCATCGGTGCCCAAGCCCTGGGGGCTGTGACTCTGACGTGGCAGCCTATAATTGGTACCTGGCACATTGGGGCACCGACCACGCTAGTGAAGATTGATATTATGTGTTGGCTTGGTCTCATAAATAACGGGAGTACATCGCTGCAGTTATCTTCCTGTCAGGGTGCTGTCATTCGATCAGGTGCTATAATGCAAACCAGAAAAGGTTTCCACCCCTGTCCATCGAACAACACTCTCATGCCAGCGCGCTAATACATCCAAGTGGAGGATTATAGACCGGGATACCCTCGGTTCACCGCGCTCATATCCGCCCATGATCCCTATTTCATGTGTCGGCGTTTCGGCAAGCTTCGGGCTCGGCTTCTGCTGCTCAAACAGGACCGACTGTCTATACTCGAGGAGAAGCTCGAACAGATAGATCAAGACGAACGCTCGCCGCTATTTCTTGGACAGAGTCGGTGTGATCAGAATTCGGAGCGATTGTCCTTGCTTTCCGAAATCGAAACTCACCTGGCTGATTATGGTAGACCACCTCGCCCCCTGCAGGCAAGCCCGAGAGACTTACCGTGCCGCTGACAATGGAAGACGAGTTTGCTGAGAGAACGTACCGGCTATTGAATATCAAGACCGCGTCGGCGAGAGATGTCGAAAGCTTGCAGAACTGGCTGGACGGCACTGGGTGTCTAGCTCGGAAGGAGAGTGCGTATCTGGAACACAATCATGACCTTGCCTCGCTGGCTTCCGCCGGCGATACCGCCACTTTACGTATTGAGACCTGGGTGGAGGATAGGCTGATTCGATTTTGGCCTGGTTATCACAAGGTGCGCAATGTCACATAGCCAGGCATTACCTACGGCAGACTGACGGGCAGATCGTACAGGATCGGGCAGATAGTATTTCAAACGACTCACATGTGTACCTCGATGTGAATCCCTGGGTTGGCCAGCTTGCCCGGTTTCTCCTTTTACTCGTCATCACACTTCTGCTGCTGATGCCAGCTGTTATCTGTAACATGATTGATGGGCTGTTGGTTCGGATGGTGGTCGTGGTCGTCTTTACAATGGTATACCTCGCGATGCTTTTGACATTAATCAAATCGAGGACAATGGAGTTGATACTTGCCGGGGCAGCGTGAGTCCTTATTGAATCTGCACTCTTGGGGTTTACTAATAGTCAACTAGGTATGCTGCTGTCCTCGTCGTCTTCGTGTCTGGTAGTGATACCCTCAAAACCGCCTAGTAAAATCCGCCAATTCAACACTCTTCATACATTACCCACCTCGCTCATTACAATTCCTTTTATACACAGGGAATGTGCTCTGCGTACCAATCAAGACTCTTATATCTAGCCCCTTATCATCGACAGACCACATACTGTTATGGCTACTACACCCCGAAGTGAAAATACGGGGCCCAGAGCCGCGGACTCAGGGTAATGCCGGCGTCGTGATCGCTATCACACCCCAAAACATCTCTCATATAGGTGAAAACATCTAGAACCGTCTCCTGAGGCCCGGCGCACGGGAGATCACTGTTATGATGCAGTGACGCAGGCGCGAAGAGATCCCGTGTCTGTAACCTGCGGTCAAGCCCCAACCAGCGACTGCTGCCCCGAGACAGCCGTAACCGGTCAACGGTAGGTCCATTGTGACGGGGATGCTGTACGCCGCTGTCTGGAACGGGGAATAGCGTCTGTCGCGCGGACTTAACCCCTTCAGTCACACCCTTGGTCTTCCTCTTTGCTTCTGTCATTCGCACCTCCTTAGCGGCTACATCCATGTCTCGAAGTCGGCAGATCGCCAGATGAACACCTTTGCAGACAGCATAATCAGTCATTCCCTCGTCCCGCAGCGTCTCATAGAAGACTCGCGCCACGTCTACCGAGTGGCGGTCAGAGACGGCCCAGAGCGTCCCCACGACGTGCCGGAACCCCGCAAGCTGGCACGCGCCAACGAGATGCACGGCCTCGTCGACAAGGCGCTCCTCTGCACTTGTGCCTGTCGAGCACGCGGAGAGGTACGCAAGGAAGGGCCGGTGCCCCGCTAGAAGCCAGTTATCTCGGAGGTCGGCCACGGTCAGCGGGTTGCTTTGCCAGTCGTGGAGGAGGAGGCAGCTGGCTGAGGCATCGGAGCCGTGGGACATACCGTGGCCGGCGAAATGGAAGATACGACATGTCTTGAGTCCGTCTAGTACCGCTTGCTTCTCGCTGTGGGTGGGCTGGACCGGATGGAGGCTTAGTGTTGGGCATAGTTGTTCGAGCATGGTGATTTCGTCTTGAGCGAATTGGAGGGGCTTCTGGCCAGCTGTATTTTGCATTGCGATGAGTAGGGCTGTCGCTGGGTTTGACTCTTCGGAGAAAGATGCTCCGTTGTCGCCCGAGGCAGTGGATTGACGCCCGTGCAGGATACTCTTGATTGACGAAGTGTAAGAGGACATTACACGGTCCATCACTGTATTTGTGGAGCCTGGGGCATGCAGTCCCGCCGCATGAATTGGAAGGTGAGCAAGAGGCCCCGCCATGATCCACCGGACTTGTGGGGGATCGCTACCATCTGGAGGAGGACCATTGTACCCCAGACCTTCAAGGCAGGGCTGGGCCACCGTGTGCCAGGCCCATTCCAGAATCGACTCCAGCACATGATCATCCAGTGGCTGCGGGCAGGTTAGAGCACGAGAGACCTCCTCTGCTTGCTGGGATTCTAGTCTCAAGAGATCCACGACTGTTACGCCGCTGGGACGGATGAGAAACGCGTCGGACCGGATGTCGCTCACGTTGACGACGACTATGGCTCCACGCTGTGCGGCATTCATCATCTGCTCCTCCGTCGGAGGAAGCAGGAAGTTCTCAAATCCAGGCTCCAGACGTATTCTATCGCAGATATCGCGGAACCGCTGTTCATTCTCGCGGCGCTCTGTTGCTTGTTTCTCCCATAGGGAGCTCTCACTCGAGACTGCCGATGTCAGGGAGAATGATACGTTGCTGGGTGTATCCAGCCTGTCGCGGAGGGAAAGGAACTCAGCTGCTAGGCCAGGTTGTTTGGCTGTTAACTCTGATATGTCAGTCCTAATGTCTAGTAATAGCCCCGCGATCACTCCCCTCCCTTGCTCGAGGAGCCTTAATGCTTCAAATGGAGTCTTGCCAGCATTGAGGGCTGCAGCCGTGGCGAGCGACGCCAGTCTATGTGAGTCCATCAGCACATACTGCTTGTCCGCGTTGGATAGAGAGCGCGGACTCAGCGCCGGCAGGAGGCCGAGTGCCTCTGCAAAGACGGAAGCAGACTCTTTCCAGTCCGATTTCATCGTGAGCAAAAGCCCCAAGAGCCGGCCGCACTTCATCCGCGTGACCGGTGCCGCATTGCTGCAGCTCCAGCTTTCTTGTAGCACATGGAGCATTTGATTGCGGTCCTTTGAGTCCCGGGTCTGGGCCTCCCGGTCAATCAGGATACTTGCAAGGTTCTCCAAGTAGATGGCCCTGGCTGGGTTGTCTGGAGGCGTGCAATTGACGGAGGCGCGCGCGATTTCGTAAGCTATATCCAGGTCGTCGCTGTCGCCCTGCAATCGATATCGCGTGTAGAGGACAGCAACAACCCGGTTCAGAGCGACCGGGAGCATGTGGCTGTCAGTTGGTAGCTGTATAATGACCGATTCCAGATTCTCCAGCGATCCATCGAGATCGGCTTCGTTCCCCAGAAGGTCATACCGGTACCAGAGAACAGCGGCGAGATCCACCTGCACCTGCGCTCGAGCGGAAGACAACGCAGGAACCAATTCTCGAGCTGCGGTTATGACCTCGACAGCTTCATCGATGTCCGTGAGCCGTTCTGTGCGTCTGAACCGCTCACCGAGTGCTACTCCCAGGACATGATGTGGGCGCCAAACCTCCAAGTACGAGGGAGGGGTGTTGGTTTGCGCAGCCACTCGGGCTATCGCAATAGCTCGATCCAGATCGCCCAGCACCTGGGTCATTTCGAATCGGGCTGCCAATTTGCTCGCCAGACTGGTTAAATATGGTGCCCACCTTCGATGCTCGGGCGAGATGATGTCCACGGCCTGCTGGTTGAGGTCAATGGCTTGATTCAGATCTTCGATGTCGCCCAGTCGGTTGAAGCGGTCCTGCAGAGCATCAGAGTGCTCTACCAGGGTGACTATCCGCTCGGGGGTGTCGACAGCCATGGCTCCAAGGGCTTCGCTAGAGACCTGCAGTCCCTGGTGCAGATCCTCTATATTCCCTGTTTGTAGGAAGCGGCTGTTGAGAGCTTGTCCCAGGAGACAAAGCAACCGTGTCCGATAAGGACGGCCGACTGGGGTCAGTTCGAGGGCACGGTACATAGTTGACACTGCCCTGTTTAGGTCCTCAACGTCGCCTGTGCGTTCGGAGTGCCTGATGAGAAGACTGGCGAGGTTGTGCAGTTTCTCCGGCTGAGAGATATGATTCTCTGCAGTTGTTTGGATGCTTACATCGACTGCTTGAATTGCTTCTTCGAGGTCGGCGACCCCGCCTGTCTGCTCATATCGAACTGCGAGTCTGGTGGCCAGGTTACTGAGAAGGGTTGGCCGGTGGAACACGCCACCCTGGCCTTCACCACTGGGATTCACCGACAACGCCATCTGGGCGAACTCGATAGATTTGTTTAAATCGTCGAGATGTCCTTCTTGCTGAAACCGTGTGTTGTGCATGCTGCCTAGGTTGTTGTAGAACACGGCTATGTTTGGGTAACAATGTGACAGACTTTCCACCGCGCCGTTGAGCTCCTTGATTGCCTCGTCCAGGTACTCGATCGAGCTTGTGCGCTCATATTGAATCTGTAGAAGGATGCTGAGGGTGTTTCGACATACAGCGCGGTCCGGGCTATTCTCGGGCAGAGATTCTATGGCCTGGGAGGTGAGTTCAAGAGCGTAATCGAGGTCGTCCACAGCTCCGGTTTCCTTCCACCGCTCACTGAGACAGGTCGACAGGTTGGTCAGGTATGCAGGAAGATTCGAGGATGCGTCGGAAACAGAAGCCGCTCGTACTGCTTCGGCCGTCACCTCAATCGCTCGGTCGAGATCGCCAGCTGAAGAAGTCCTCTCGAATCTCTTTTTCAAAAAGGTCCCAAGTATGTTGAGGTATTGAATACGACGTGCGTCTTCAGCTCCAGCTGACAGCGCGCGTTCAGTTATTTCAATGGCTTTATCAATGTCGCCCGTGTCGCCACTGCTATTGACTCTCAGACCGTGCAGTCCTACGAGCGCTCTCAGTCCTTCGGCCCTGTGCCAGTGTCCCTCGGGCATTGACTCGGTCAGTTGATTGAATATGGTGATGGCTCGGTCAATGTCTTGCACTTTGCCCGTCAGTGAGAACCTCGTATGGAATTTCTCTTTAAGAGCTGTCGAGAGCGTAATGCCCTGCGGGTGGTCCCAGGGCCGTTCGGTTGCCTCCCACATGCCGGTCATAATGGCAATAGACCTGTCGAGGTCACTGATTTCCTCAGTTATTGCGAAGCGAGTCGTGTAGAAATCCGACAAACACAGTAGGAACCTCCCCCGGTCTGCGTGAGTTGGCGTGAGAGAGTCCAAGACTCCGTTGATCAAGGGAATCCCCTGACCAATACCCTCCACATTGTCTGTGGCCTGAGCATGACGCAAAAGGAGGATGGCGAGGCTCCAAACGTAACCCCTCCGGCTGTCTTGGTCATCAGTGGAATCCAGATTCGATTTTTCAAGCTCAATGGCCTCTACCAGGCCCTCTGGCAATCCAGTCTCAACGAAGCGGTCACTCAGGGCTGTTGCAAGGTGGCTAGCATACTTCCGTCGTGCTGGACCGTCACCAGCCGCGTCCACGGCGAGCCTCCCATACTCAACGGCCTGGTCCAGATCCTCGATTTCCCCAGTGATTCGGAACCGTCGTTCATGGCAGGTTACAAGTAGGTCCAGGATAACGGGGTGCTCCGGTTGATCTGCGAGACAATCCAGAGATTGTTTCAATGTGTGGAGAAGCTCGTCTATACGTTCCAGCGCCCTAGTCCTGTTGAAACGGTCCAGCAGCCATGAGATAAACCCTTTCCAGTAACGTGCCTTGGTGACTCCGTTGGTATCGGGACTCATTTCCTGTGTGAGGGACTTGCCGAGTTCAATTGCACGCGAGATATCTTGACTCGAGCCTGTTCTTTTGAAGCGTGCAACTAACAACCAGCCCATCTTATGCATGCTTTCTAGGCGCGCAGTGTGGGCCCTTGGGAAATATTCCAGAGCAGATCCAGCCGCATCGATGGCTTGATCTAAGTCTTCGGGGCTTGCATCTTTCTTATATCGCATTTCGAGCCACAGGACCAAGCTTCGCAGATGCGAGGCATGGTGCAGATCATCAGGTGTTCTTGCAGCTACTGCCTCTTTCCCGCAATCGATGGCTTGGTCAAGGTCGGCCGCATCTCCTGTATCCTGAAACCGCGCTTCAAGGCACGTACCAAGGTGGATTGCTTTGGTAGCATAGTCGGGGTCTTCAGGGGCAAGGTTTGCGAGAGCCAGCCGGGCTTCGTCGATGCGCTGGTTCATGCTAGCTGGATCCATGGTAGTAAGGGATGTTCGGTACAGGACAATATTGCCAGAGACTATTTAGGGATAGATTTGATAAAAGCATCTCGTGCATGACACGAGAATCGATTATAGGACAAGAGTAGCGTCAAGGCTGGGAGGTCCTAAGTTCAAATTCGTGGAGCAGTGTACCGCCAGGCTGAGTTTGCCACGTCGCAGGGATTGATTGGATAATCCCCATGAACAACAGGGCAATAATCCTGCCTTATATCATACCCAGATATTCCTCCAACCATGGTGTAGGATGGCTCAAGACTGTGTCCCCCTATTTGGCAGGAGTGGCGCCCCGTGGTTCGCACACTGGAAGATTGTAAGGCTGCACTCAGCAGATGTATGGTTTAGATTCGTTACGACTCCATTTTTCATGCATACATTACACTCTGGCTAGCCTTAGTCTCTTATACCAGCAACGACAGTACAACAGGCCTCAAAACAATCACCAAGACAGACAAAGCTTCTGCAATCGCCCGACAAATGACTTTCTCAGCGCCGGCCCTTCCGTGGCCGTTTCTGCATAGAGGACGAGGTCGTGGTTGCTCTTCGGGAGCAAGGTGAGCACCGTGCATTCATCGGCACAGAGCGAGGCCACGGTTGGGTGTTAATGGTCGCGCAGACGCCGTATCGCTCACCCTGTGCGCAACGGGTGGGACTGCTAGATGAGACAGACCATTGCCTTCCGCAGGTCGTGCATCGCATCGGGATGTTGGTGTAGTTTGTACACATTGGGGCAATCGTACGGCGGGTATGGACTGATATCGGGGTTGGGCTTGCGATGGCAAGAACTTGGTGGGATGCGGGAAAACATGAGGGGACTATGTTGATTTATATACGCTCCGGCTCCCTGGTCATGCTAACTCCGAGCGCTATCTATTTGACCAGGAGGGTGGAAATAGATCAAGGGCGTATCAGCCTTGCGCTTTAGAGGGATTGATTGGCCAGCTACCCTGGTAAGGTAGAAATAATAACTCATTGCCTTGGGAAGGCGCAGTGTGCCACTGGTTGTCTGGCCTTCCAACGCACCCAACCCTGCGTCTGGCAATGTGCTCACCGTAGATACGCCGAGGCATACCAGTCCACATCGTTGAGGTTGTGAAAGTCAGTCGTGATTTTGGGAATGGCGACGGAGATGATGGTATTATCCAACGCCATGCAGAAAACGCCTAACATGAGGCTGGCTATGATTCCACCCAGCGTCCACCCCATCAGAAGAATGCTGGTTTTGACTTCATCTTCCTCAGACGGCAGATCATCAGCCAAGCGGGTTGGGGATCTGTGGGGAGATGTGCTCTCTGGCAGCGTGTCACGGCCAACTGACTTCTCATCGGGGGTCGCACTGGCCATGATGGAGGACGCAAAATGAATGAGAACACCAGCATGCGCCTATCAAAAGACAAAGACGCTGCTCGTCGATCCAAGCAGCATCTGCCATAGACATATATATCCCTCTCTCAACGGCGCTCGTGATGAACCAACCAGACAGCCCTTTCGGAGAGCGAAGTCAACAGTCGGCAAGTCGGCAGCACGGCCTCCCGACTCCCCGATCTGGCTCTTTGTGATTGTCATTGGATCCTTGTTGGCCCCTTGTAGGGCTATGAGGCAGTTGATCAGTCATGAGGAGTTATTACAGCCATGGCTGTGTCTCTTTACATTGACTTGTCAGTTCGTTGTGGCCGCCTGCTGGAACAAATATCACTTAGTTAGCAATCTCTCAGATCTCAGTGATTTAGTACTCACTGGTCTCTTTGAGGTACAAGCTATATTCCTAGCCATCGTCAATCAGTCAAAGATGTGCGTTGGCTCTCAGGGACTCGGAGACTCAGATCTAGCCTCGAGGACCTGAACCTGGCCCCCCTGCCTATATTAGATTGACAGCCCGGCCCGAACCGCCCAACCAGTCGAGCTTCTATGTCGGCGGTGCTAATGGAGTTACCGGTGTCTCACAGAAATAAGCAACTCAATGAGCGAATGTGATGATGTGTCACGGGCTAGGAGTATTCCTGTCCGTGGCTACACTACTAACCCCCCTTGAAGCCATAAGGGAACGAAGTGGAATTGCTGAAGAGAAGAAAGAGAGACTACATACAAGCCGGCGTCCCTGACTCACTGTGCGGCGCATGTCTAGGGGGCAGCCCATGAGGTGGGAAGCCAAACATGTTTGATTCTGTCTATCTTGACCGATGAATAGAGGAGATAGGTATGCTATCGAGTTCGCAGTGACATATGACTGACATTTCTGGAAGATGCCTCCAGTTCGAGGATTAGCATGACGTATATCAGGAGCACAAGTGTGAGAGCAGTGAACGGAGTAGAGCCTTCTACGTCCTCTCTTTTGCTATTTAGTACGGCAGTCCTACTTAAATGCTCCCAGAGGTCACGTCGTGACATGCATGCGATGAGATGCTTCATATTTGCCACCTTTGGTCTACATATGGACTAGATAGTCACTTGCATGAGAAGAATCAAACCTTTAGTAAATATTATACCTATATAGAAGATACTAGCCTATTCCGAACTCATATCGGTACGGATTTTGACCCCTTGTCATATGGTATGGCTTCCAGGCCATTGAACTAGTTAATTTCAACCACTGAATTGTAGCATTTCTTATACATGAGGTCATATACGCAGCAACGCTTCTTTACATGATGGTTGCAAGCTTCTCTAAGGCCCAGCGATTACGAATCTGTCGCCTTTCTGATGAACTTGATCAGCGCCTCCTTGCCCTCCCGTTTCAACACCGCTTCCGTATGCAGCGCCCCCGCGACACTCTTACGCTCGGCGTTCAATCCGAGTCTCTGACACAGACGCTCCAATTCATCCGCGGCCTGGGAAGGAATCATTTCGTCCTCGTCCGCAACCAGCAACAGGATCGGTGGAGTCCCTCTCTGCCGTTGAGGATCGTTGTCCCGCCAGCGGGCTATGCGCTCCAAGGCGGCGGCGCTACTCCACCTGTTCCACAGAAAGGGCCATAGGTACCGATATGGCAGCCATCGCTGGGGATACAGATTCTTCAGGACATCTTTGGTGCTGGTGGATGGGGTTTCCAGAACCACCCCGGCGACGGAAGAGGAAGAAGAAGAAGAAGAAGAGGGCAGACGAGCGAGATAAGTGGCCGTAGCCGTGCTGGCAACGGCAGACCCCAGACTGTGACCCCACAAAATGACCTGGAGATCAGTACCGGGTGCGCCGAAGGTATCCATGACCCAGTCCAAGAGGGCCTGGGCGTCGCGCTCGATCCCCGTTTGCGACGCACGACCAGACGATTTCCAGTAGCCGCGGTAGGATAAGGCGACAAGGGTGTAGTCAACGAAGGAGGAGGGCGAGGAGGACGACGAAGTGGCGAGCTCTCGCAAAACACTCGAGAGCAGTGGCAACCGGGGCGGCGTGGAACCACCGTTGCCTTGGAAGTAGCAGATTACCACCGACCGTTTTTGCTGCTTTGTGGAATCTCCGGTGACAGTGACGGGCATGCTACCGACGCAGACTGCTAGCTTCGTCCCATCCAGACTCCGCATGTGCGTCTCCTTCCACTGCACTGGACGACACTCTGCCTGGTAATCTGCGATCTTCTCGGAGCGCGCGAACGGGGGCATGTAAGACATGTATAAGAGCCGGTCCTGGAACAGAATGATCATTGTGCATTTCCAGGTCCAGAGAGCGATGAGCAGCCCGACGAAGACGAGAGGCGGCACAAAGACATTGGGAATCATGACCCCTCTGGCGGCTGTCACTGAGAAGGGACGAGGGATGTCTGGACGCCTCGGGGACGTTCGCTTATGGAGGAAAGGCAGACTGCTGATGCGATGGTGGAGGCCTTGGGCCTGGAGAACAACAGCCCTCGTCCAGGCGGCTGGGGGGAAGCGATTCGATATCGCTCGTCGAGCCAGCATCACCACGGTGGAGGATCAATTGAATGAGGAACAACGACGGAACTGCGGCCTGTTCAAGAACTTCGTTTTCGGATGGCGTTGTCTTACTCTTCGGGTTCGCTGAGCGAGACAGGCCACCCGGAGGCTAATAAGGCTAATTCCTGTCGGTGCCTCGCTCTCCGGCGGCACCCGTAGTTTGCAGGGGTTGTAGTACATGTGGATATGTTTATAATTTGCTTATTAGAGGGAGAGGCCATCTGTTTCCTATGTAGATGTTTCACGACCATGTGGGGACGGTCTTGAATTACCCTACCATTGCATATAAAGAACTACGACAATGAAGCCGGAGACCCATCTTTTCCTCTTCGGGGACCAAACCTATGATTTCGTGCCGGATCTTCGTCGGTTGCTAAGTTGCAGAAGCAAGCCGATCCTCAACGCCTTCCTCGAGCAGTCCTACTATGTGATTCGCGCGCAAAGCAACCTGTGGCTCTCATCAGCCGGACGACCAGCGTCCCAGACGTCGAGTCTCGCCCAACTTTTGCACAAGTATTGCGAAGGCAGCTTGAGCCCAGCGTTTCAGGTATCCCTGCATGCTCTTACTCAACTGGGATCATCCATCTGGTAAGGAACTGCATTCATGGCCTTGAGGAACTGAGATGAACTGATGGGGTGCAGTCACTATGAAGAACTCGGCCAAGTATATCCTTCTCCCGGGTCAACCTATCTGGTCGGGCTCTGTACGGGCTCGCTCGCGGCCGCTGCAATTAGCTCGTCCAGCTCAGAGCCTATGGTATTTCATACGGCTATCCGCTAGGGTATATAGCCCACCTCTTCTCTCTCTCTAGATAGGTAGTAATAATCTGTGGTCATGTATTCTAGAAGGTGGAACTTGGAAGATTATATCGGAATAGATTGTTGATGAAACATAAATCTTGTGTTAATTATGCCACTGAAGCCCACCTTTATGGGCGGACTTTGCAAGTATGAATTAGATATATGTCAAGGCAGCCATTGGTTAGCATTTTAGCATTCAGAATTCCGTAGCATCTTCTATGAATTATGTGAGACGATAATTGCATTACTGTATTTACATCAGCCTAGATTTGTGCGTTGATCGGATAGAGGAGACCTGGAAGAAGACTGGAATTACGTTGAAGTCGCCATCTAGTTCAACCCTTCAAGAATCTCAGGAAAAAGGAGTTCATCATACTGCCACAACGTGGTCTGAAAATTGACCGAGAAAGCACCGCCGGTCCACCAGGTAGACCGTCCTCCCTGCAGCTTGTACAGCTTCTGGTAAAAGCCGTCTCGCAAGTCCGCAACCGACACCCGGGCATGCATGGGGCCATGTGCAGAGAAGTCGACCCAGCTCACCTGCTGCCCTTCCTCAGCGGGCAACAGCCGGCCGGCTTTCTGGAGAGTATCAAAGTCATTTTGCACCAGTTGTTTGGCGCCGGCCGTGTCGAGTGTGTCGTCACCGATAACCGTCACCCTGAACAAGCCATCGCCGCCAAGGTAGTCAATGCGAGCCGTGAACGAGGGATTTGGCAGAGCAAGGTAATTGTCGGGCGCGGCAGAGGCAGGGAGGTTGAAGTAGGAGTAGCTGGTCGCAAAGGCAGAGTTGTTCACCAAACCCGTGTATTCGTTGGTGTATGTAAACTTGGACAAGACAGTGCGCTCGTTATCATCAAGGTCGAAGGGCGCCATGTTGGCTGCAGTCGGCTCGATGGCGAGGAGGAGCCTGCGGGCTGTGATCAGGGTGATTTGGCCAGTTTTGCCATTCTTGACTGTAAGAAAGACGCCACGGTCGGTACGCCAGCTGTCAATGACAGTGCTCGAATACAGCACGTCATCCCCAAGATGATCGGCGACGGCATCATACAGGTCCTGGTTGCGACCGGAAGCCGGGACAAACATTCCTTGCTTGCCGAGTATTGCTCGAGCCATGGGGGCCCCGAACGATTGTAGAACGAACATGGTGGTTTCCCGCGTCATGTTACCGAGTCCCAGGCCGGTACTCTCATAGATCAGAGGGACAGCATCTTCAATCCCATACTTGGTTACAAAGTCACCAAACGAAATGAGAAGCTCTTCGGGAATGGCACCTGGCTCGGGAAAGTCGTAGTAGCCAGGCTGCATAAGGTGCTCCCACGGCTCCACCACCTCGAGGAATTTGGCCATGGCCGCAATCTGGTCCGCAAAAGAGGGCAGCTGGAAGTCGACGACACTTCCAGTTCGGAAGTCGATGTACTCCGTTGTGACCGTGGGGTTGGTGGAGTTGCCCATCGCGATGCCGAACCGCTCAAAGAAGCCCGTCGCGTTGCCGGCATCAAGAAAAATCTTGACGCCGTAGTCGTAGGGGACGCCCGTCTTGGGGTCTACATAGGAGTCGACCATACCACCCTGTCAGCGGTCAATAATCGTTGTCCCAGATTGCAGGCAAGATCGTGTCCTACAAGGATGCTCTGCTTCTCAATGAGAGCAATACTCTTGCCAAAGTCATCGCGAAGTCGCACAGCGGCGTAGGCACCAGAAGCACCTCCACCGACAATCACAACATCTTTGAAAAGGACATTGGGTAACCGACTAGCCGTGGCCAGAGACGCGGCAGCCGCCAGGCCGAGGACAGAAGATGCAAGGGATAGCATCTGGAATATGTAGATAAATAATATTTTCAGAAGTAGAAAATATTTGATGCAGTGGGGCCATGCACTGCTTTATAAATCTGGTATTGGCCTGGCAGCAGCATAATATATAGGCAAACTTCAATCTCATCCAATCACTTTGACCACACCATGGCTTGACTGGAATAAGACCTTGAGCATTTCTGTTGACCACCAGGGAATTCATTGGTTGACAGCACAAATTAACATAAAAGAAAACTCTTTGCATTAGTCGGTATGATCCCTGTTCATGAAGTGTCAAGTCTCCTATGGGGAGAGCCGCTAGTCTTAGGTGCATTCAGTAGAGCATGCACCTACTGCAAATAGCCTAATCAGGCCTGTCTTACCCCTCATTAGCTCCAGCAAGCCCCTTGGGAAAAGAGGATATGTTGTTGGACTGGACATGACTTGGAATAATTGACAGGGTCTGACAAGAGTAGAGCCCTCAGAATTAGTGAAACATTAGTTACTATAAGTAAAAGTAGAGCCCAGGGTAATGCATTTATTTCCCCAATGGGAGAATTTAATGTCAATTTAGATGAGATGTCCTTGAAGTATAGGATAATATACTGTGTTAAACACTGTTCTGGCGGTAGCATATAGGGAGTCGGGTGGCTATATAAGGTATCTTAGTAGCAGAATGTAAGGCTTCATAATAATACCAGCACTTCGCCCCTTTTAACATTCCCACACCCCAGACCTCACCAATGGCAGCGTTAACATATATTTAGTCCATATTTGCGGAACCTGTCCACAAAGGCAAGGTTCAACGGCAGGATTCTGACACAAGCTCGTATTTCCCGTCAACAGTCTATCTCAATATCATCTTCCTTTACATCTAGCACATACGACCATAGGGTGTGGAGAACAGGGCTTCCCGTCCGCTCAGCCGTACTTAAGCCAGTATTATCAACGCGGCCAGAAGTTATACGCGCCCTTGAAGGCCTGCTGCTTTACGGGTGAGAGACGCTAAACCACAGGGTGAGTGCGGGTGAGTGAAGCTGAGCTGAGCGATGCTATCCAACAGCATGGGTGAGCATGGGTGATCAGTGGGTGACAGAGTGATTCTGTGGTGACTGGACTCCCTGTAGCCCATTATTAGTACCTCCATCGCCAGCTTAAATATGAGGGCCTCCTCTCTGCTCAACCATTATCTCCTTTCCTATCTACAAGCGGTTTTTTTTTGTGTGTGTTTGTGTGTGTGTTTGTATTTAACGGCCGTGGGTCGTGACAGGCACGCTTCCCACCATTCCCTATTGGGACAAAGGCCGCCAGGGGGTAAGCCCTGGGCTTCTAAATCTATAATTCTATATACAGATTTTTTAAAACAAGAAAGAGGCTCTTTGGCGCATTTACATAGCTGCCGTGACCAGAAAATGGGGCCCTGCGGGTGCAGGATGTGTGTTGATGCCAGCTGCATTGGTCCACCTAGACGCCATGACCAGTCGTACCACCTCTACATCTTTTCTGTTTTGAAGGAGTATAAGGAATAAAGGAAAATTACAAAGGAGAAGGGGGGGCCAGCTTAGCTTGTGCTAAGA